GGTCTCGCAGATGATGCAGATGCAGCTAGGCAACGCAGCGACTGGACCATCAACGCATAGCAGTACTTCTGAAGCTCTTTGCGGTGCATTTTTAATCATGCGAGGCTCTTGGTGTGCTCTACACTGGCCACGTGAAGCAGTCTTGGCTTTTGCATGCGCAACTCGTCTGATTCTCACGGATGTGACGACAAACCCGAGACCCCAAGATGTCCCCAGGGAACGCGAGACTTTAAAGATCGAAGCTTCGCCCACTACGCTGGAACATCTCACATGAGTCGTAGAGTTGTAAAGGGATGCGCGCCTGTCTGACGGGAATGCCGCAGCTGGCAAAGGAACACGATCGTCGAAAGAGATACTGGGTCACAGCCGCGTCAGATTGTGATCTTTTGCCTAAGAAACGCGCCTTGTGTTTACCACTGGTATACCTTTCCGACGTTCGTCCTCCATGCAATTCATGGCCAGTTCACCGACCGACCACGTTCCCCGTCCGATTCTCCCAATGCGACCCAATGTGCGCCCAAGTTCCCTCGTTCCGGCAAAACCAATGATCTCTCAATATGTCGTCGAATAGGAGACACCAACATGAAAGATAAAAGGGCGGCTGTCCGTGAGGGAATGAAATTATAGGCGACTAGGTCTCGCCGTCCTCGGCGTCGTAGTCCTCGTTGACGAGGTCCTCGCTGCAGTCAATGTCAGGAAAACAGGTCTCTGAACCGGCATCAATGTTGCAAACTCACGTGGATTCACGCTTGACGCGCTGCTTCTTGACGGGAGTCTCGACGTCAAAAGTCTCCTCCGACGCCTCGCGCTTCAGGTTGATCTGTTCCTCCGCGTCGTCGACGGGGCTGTACTCGCGCACGTCTTTCTTGGAGACAGCCTTGCGGCCGCGACCGCCGCCGCCGCGCTTGGCGGCGGGCTTGGTGGGAGTGGCACCGTTGCCTTCAGCTGCCTTTCCGAGGGCGGACAGGTCGCGGTTCTTGCGGAGCTTCTGGACGTGCTGGCTAGACGATAGAGTTAGCGACCACATGCCGAACAGATGAGACAACACACGAGATGAAGAAAAACAGGAAGAAAAGCTATGCAATGCAGGGTGGATATACGTGATGGCGACGTAGGAGTAAGTGTAGCCGCGGGCTTGCATCTGCTCCGTCACTTTAGTGAAGAGTGCCTTGCTTGGCTTGACCTCGTCAATGAGGCAGAGGAGAAGAGCCTCATGGGTAGCGGCGTTCCAGCCACGGGCAGGCTGACCGGACATGTTTGGAGAGGACTTGGTACAAGTGGGATGGCGGCAATAGTTGGGACACGGAGATTGAAGTGTGCGTGGTGAGTGTGTGTGAATGGGAGAACAAGGTAGGGGATGTGTTGCCCTGGGTGTGGGAACATATAGCGTGACCGCCAGCTGGCAGCCTCAGCAACCAGCTGTCGACTGGCAAACCAATGAACGGTGAATTTGCGGCGAACATGCGCGAAGAAATCAACACTGGGCATACCGTAAGGCACCCTCGGTAAAGGTGTAGCCCTTGCTGCGCATGTCGCCCATGATCGAGGACCAATCCACCGTGGAGAGGTTGACGTGCTGGAATATCGCAATGAGGATATCCTCATGGACCGCGGGATCCCACTTCTGAATCTGGCGACCACCCATTGTGCAGGATGTTGGATACGACGAGCTGGGTGTGGGTTGTAGGATGAAGTTGTAGGGAACAAAGGAGCTTTGTGACGATGCAGGTGCGTTTGCAGCTTGCGCGGGCGATGATGAAGAGAAATTGAAGAGTGAATGGGGGATGAGCCCAGGGCAACATGTGCAGGATATGGATTCACTGTGCGTTGCACTGGCAACACGTGAGTGCGCGGTGGGAGTGCGCGGTGACCTCCCTCTATCTCCCTCTGTTCGGACCCCTGCCGGCTCCCCGGCAGCCATGCACGAACAGGTGGCGGGAGCAACTCCGGTAAGGTGAGGCGGCCGATGCTGGAACTGACAAGGCAACTGGAGGACCGGTACACACAGACATGCCCCATGCATGCATACAAACGAAATGGAACGACCTACCGGACAGCCTCCCACGTAGTGGGATGGCCCTGCTGCTTCATAAACGCCTCGATCTCCATCTTGGTGGCCGCGCTGAAGCAGCCGGCCTTGCTCGCAGTCTCGTATAGAGCCAGCGCGAGATCTTGGAGAAGTACAGGGTTTTCCCAGGACGATCCCTTGGGGGCCCCTTTGGTTCCCTTGGGCGGCATGGTGATGGCGATGCTTTTGCTTGTTTGCGACGATGAGGGTTTACGATAGGCAGTCTTGATGCGATGTGATCGGGGACAAAGTTGGAGATGGGCGCGTCTTCAGCGACGAGGCACAGGTGATGGAGTGTGATGTGGGAGGAAGAGGAGGGAAGGTCACCAGGGCAAGAGGAAGAGCGGGCGATATGATAGCGGCTCCCGGCCAGGCATGTGCCGGCCCGTTGGCAAGTGCCAAGGTATCTTTGTCCCGCGCCCAAACCGCCAGGGCTCTGTTGTTACACACCATATTGCCGCGCCTCAAAGCGCCAATTTCCCCCAGTCTCCTAATCCGACCCTTGCCGTAAGTTGCTTCAACCCGAAAAATGCTAGATAACTTGAACGCAGCCCAAAATAAGATTGCTTAAACTCCAGTCACGGCATCAAAGCCTTCAAAGAATAGCACCAATGAGTAAGTATGTCAAATAATACTGCCCCTCTCACACCAACGCACGCCATATCGATGTAGGTGCATATGAAGCATCGGTTTGCTAGAATATCGCGAACGCCTTGGCTAGGCTTCGCCGTAGTTGTCGAATCTGTCCCAAAGTCAGCATACGAGAACGACGGCAGGGAGATTAAGGGGCGCTTACTCTGAGCCGTATTGGTCGCCCGGACCGGCGCCGTTGTGAGCTGCGAGAGCGAGCACCGCCTCGTCATCGAGGGCGGGATCGTGCTCTGGTTCCGGTTCCGGCTCAGGAACGTCCATCTTTTGGCGCTTGGCGGGGTGCTCATCAACTCCTGGCACAGCGTGCTCCGTGGGGTCCAAGTGGCCGGCGCTCTCGGCGCCATCGGCGTCTACATCGGCGTCAGGTCCCTCCTCGTGGACGCCGGATATGTGATCAGGGTGGACTGCCGCGGCCGTCAGCGCAGGAACTGACGACTCAATCCCGGCGGCCGATACCGATTCAGGTTGTATCATGTCGCCACCCGCATTCAGGACAGGCGACTGGTCATGGTGGTCTGGCGCTCCTTGAGACGCATCGCCGGCGACTTGGTCTGAAATGTGCCCATAGTACTGTGCTCCTGGGAAAGGGACCGGCGGATGGTCTTGCGTCGTGCCTGGCTGCGCGTTCTGTCCGCCTTCTTGCTGCTGCTTCCGCGGCCGGCCGCGTCCCGGCCCGGGACGTCTGGTGATGGGGTTCAGCGTTGGGTCGACTCTCCTGGCAGTCTCGGGGACAACGCCGTTAGCCTCGGCCTTGTTCTGCGCGCGTCTCAGCCCCTGAAAGTGTTGCCTGCAGGTCCAGCATGGTCAGCATGGTGTGCGCCCGTCAAGAACGGAGCCGTGATGTCGCAGGAGAAGGTGATGAGGACGCGACTGAGCAACTTTAACATCTCCTACATCGCGAGCAGATACAACAGGGGGCAGGACCCGGCAAAGGGACGTAACGACAGTTGAAGTTGTTTGGGCGCATAGTGAAGCCGGACAACACAACAGGTGTAAGGTACAGCGTGAGCAATGCGCTTGCATTACATGCACACCAGGTCCGTCCATGAGATAAGATGAGATGTAAACAGGTGCAACTCACCGGCAGCCCTCATTGGTGAAGCCATAGCCAAGCGTGCGCATGTGGTTACCGATGGTGGTCCATTCTGCGCCGCTGATGACGCCAATGTTCTTCACTGACAAAATAGTAAAGAACAGGTCCTTGTCTGCGCGGTCGTTCCAGTTCTTGTTGTTCATGGCCATGGCCTTGCCGGACAATGCAAGTGCGTAGTGGAGCGCGTCGTCTGGCGGCAGGCGATCACACAGAGCGAGCGCTCTGATCGCGGTGGTGGCCCTGGGGTGGTTGCAGCGCCGGGGAGATGTAGAAGAGCTGGTCGAGGATAGGTCGTGTTAGGAGGGGCGGCTGGTCAATGGGAAAATTGATAGTGAGGAACCGGCGGGTGGCGCGCTGTCGGGGGAGGTTTGGGGGGTTAATGAATGGGCCCTGCGGCCTCCCAGGCGCGGCACGTGGAGACCCCGGAGGCTGGGTCAACTGTTTTCCCGGCACGGGCCGTTCAGCTCAGCGGTCTTGTGCAACGCCGCCGGGGCGAGGATAATTTGGTTGAAGAGGCAATCTGCGCTCCAGAGGGACGCGACACTTGGGCGATTGGGCCAGGCAAACGCAAGATGCGCTCAGGACGAGGTTGCGTCTTCCGTGGGCGTTGTCGCGAGGGCATGTAGCTCTCACGCGACGCGATGCAATGGCTTAGCCGGAGCTGAAGCGGCGTTTAGCCGACGCTGCAGCCCAATAATACGGGGGCCGGCTCCCCAGGCGGTTCGGTCTGGCAGGTGCTGTGAGAATGCAGGTACGAGACACAGGACACGGCGCACGGAGCACGGAGCACAGCACCAACATGTTGGGTCGAGGACATTGTCAATTTGTTAATTCCAGGCAAACACGTCAAAGGTTGTCACAGCAGGAGATGGACAGGGATAGAGGGACAACAGTTGACCGCAACTTGGGCAGTCGCCACCCAACTTTGGCCGTATGCGATGCGAACGAGTGCCGCGAAACCGAGCCCCATGCCGTCGCTGCTGGCTACTGGATGAAAGTCAGTTGCCTCGAATGTTTTGTCAAGAGCGGCAGCCATCGAAGCCATGATGCAACACTAGAGTTTGGTTACGTGAGCAGAGAGCGGTCGCGCTGTCGACCTTGTCCCGTTGAGTGCATGGCTGGCGAAGCAGCCGGCAGGCGACCATTGGCAAGGGAGATGGTTGGTCGCGGAGCCGGTCGAGTCATCTCGAGCTGCAGCAGCCATGGGAAAGATGGAGCAGACGCAAGGGCGCGATATCCGAGGACGAATGGGCGACTGACTGGGCGACGGGGCCATGGGGGGAACGTCATGGACGGCGGCGGCGGACGCGGGCGCCTCGCCTCGCCGCCTCGCCTCGTCTCCAGTCTCCAGTCTCCAGTCTCCAGGCAGGCCAGCGGTACGTACCCCCGTACTCGCCGACTCACGTGAGTTCGTGCCAACCTGGCGCTCCCCCTCGTCACACAGTGTCCCGCAAAAGTTCGCGCCCGTCGCGTCTTCCGACCACCTCACCCCATCCCCTCCTCGACGGGACGCCGGGATGACGGCTCGCCCCGACCATGGGTGGTCTCAAAAACATTCTCAATGGCTAGCGAGCGCCGTGTCTGCCTATCGTCAAATTTTCCGCGTCTCTGGAGCGTTTCCCGCTGTCGAGTTGCAATTGAAGCGACCTGGCGATGGGTTGCGACGCAGCCCCTCTTTACCTGACGCCGGGCTGCGCAATCGTCGGTGTGGGCGCAGCGTCACAAAGTACACACGGCCTGGCGGGGGGGCGTCTCATCCACACTTTTCTCGGCCTCCCTTTTTGACGGACGAGGGAAATGAGGCGACGGCGGCCAGGTTCGGCGACAAGCGTGGTCTTGTCCGAGCGTCAAGAATGGCTCCATGTCGGCGTCGCACAGAGGCAGCGAGAAAACCTTGCCGGCGAGCGATCCTGCGCTGTGCGACAGCGTTGCCGCCGCGGGAGCACGAGTAAATAATGAGAAATGTGCAGTCCTGTAATTGCAGCACCGCAATCTGACTGCAGAAACGACTGCCTTGCTGCTTGTTAGACGCATTTGTTGTCGGCAGTCGACGACCGCCCACCCCTCCCACGACAGAGGAAGCGCAGCTAGCGCCCACCGCATCGCCCCAACGGCAGCGGTTGCGCCGGGGCTGACGGAATGATGAACCTGCATCTGACCCTCCCGCATTTTTTCGTTTACTTTTTCTTCCCTGGATGGTGTGAGTCACACGGAGGTTTCAGTCTAGCCTGAATGAAGACGACGGACGTTCTTTGTCGGGTTTCCCAATTGACGTCGAGGGCGCATCGACGATGTTTGCTAGGTGGTCGCTGGGCGGCGGCTGCTGGCTTACCTAGGGTCGCTGTAGCCACAGCGCACGATCAATTGGCCAGCGCCGACTCGACGGGCGGCACAAACCGGCGACAACAGCCTGAAAAAAGCTCCCGTCACCGTTTGCGACGCTTCGTCGTCTCGGCCAAGAGGCGATGCCATTCCGCATCAAACGACAGTCGGATGGTTTGATACTACCCAGCCCGAGTGTCGGGTGTTGGTGGGCTTCCCATGCCATCCATGCCTTGCAGCAGGGTTGGTGCATCACAGGCGCCGCTAGCGGACTTGGTTAGCGGGCGGGGGAGAGACTTTGGGCCGTGGAGCGCTGCAGCCACTTTACGCGGTCGCCCCACCACTTTACGCCTCCCCAGCGGCTGCGCTGCGCTGCCCATCCATCGCACTCGGCAGGGACCCCGAGCAGCGCGCCCCGTGGTCCAGGCAACCAGGCAGCCACGGGCCTGGAGCCTCCCATCTCAGACAGCCCGGCGCCGGCCATTGGTGATTGCCACCGCCATGCCGATTGCTTGGTGGGCAGGGCGTGGCCTCCGCCGCCGGGGGTGTGCGTTCATGTTCCTGGATCACGGCATGATGGATATGGATGGATCCCTGGCTGACCAGATCCGAATCCCAGCGTCTTCTTAAATCCTGCCTCCTCCCCCTCGCCTGCCATTTGTTCCCCTGAATGCTTCATACTTTCTCCTCCTCTCCGTCGTCCCTCCGTGCAGTGCCAAAGGCCAGTCAGGAACATCTCGTCCCAGGCTTCATGTCTCTCGTCCGCCGAGACCAACCATCCACTCACCACCCAACACAGCGCCTGATCCCATCCTCCTCCGCCTTGTGCCTCGTCTCGGCCGCTTCGTCGTAACCTCCGACCGACCCATCTCCACGCCAACACCGTGAAAGTCGACATTCACGCTGACTCACCCCATCCACCATCATCACCACGCACGCACACCCGACAGCTGCGTCACCACAGTCATCAGGTATCCGCCCGCGGCCACATAATTGCTGAGGCGTCTCACGCTGCCTTGGGCATCCCTGTCCGGCTATTTCATCCGCCTCAACCCTCGCCATCACATCTTCAACTCTACAACCCATCCCATCAACACCACAGAGGCCTCGACCGCTGCCATGTCTCCCAACAGTGACAACGCCATGGCCCGCTTCCTCTTCGCCATCCTGAAGCAGAAGAACCTCAAGGACGTGAGTGGTGCAGCCCGCTCCGTTTTGGACTAATGAACGTCTCTGACCATCTCTCTGCCGCAGATTGACTGGAACGAAGTCGCTCAAGATCCGGTCCTGCTGCAGCCCATCACAAATGGGCACGCTGCCAGGATGCGATACTCTCGCTTCCGTGCCACCGTCACTGGCCACGAGCCGCAGAAGAGGAGTCGCCATGGCGAAAAGGGGAAGATCTCCAAGCCCAAGAAGGACGCACAAACGAAGAAGGAGCCGACCATCAAGTCGGAGTCGCTCGCCAGTCTGTCTCCGCTTGCACAGGTATGCTCATCTGAACATGCTCTTCCATGTATCGTTTAACTTGATGCTGACGTAGTGACCTCGCAGTTCTCTCCAGCTTCGATGGTCTCCCCATATCTGGGCGACACCATGGACGACTTCAATGCTCGGTTCCTGACTCCTTGCAGTGATGACATGACCCAAGCTCTGTCAGTCCATCCCGCTGCCGTCGAGAATGGCGCTCGCAAGGCCTCGTCCGCCTTCACTTCCAGCACGGACGGAAGTCCCGACTTTCCTCTCTTCGACACATTCGACCCTGCCTATGACTTGAGCAGCTACAGCGCCGAGTCTGGGGACTTTCCCCAGAGCCAAGGCATCTCTGACCTCGGCGCCACTCAGTCCTTGGTGGACTGCGGCCAGGACTGGAGCGACCGCTTCCACGACCCGCAGCTCTTTTGATACCCCCGTGTGGCGAGCAGGCTCTCATCATGTCGATGCCGCGAGAGTAAACGACAACTCGTACATCACAAATCTAAAATCTCGGTGCGGCGTTTGGTAGACGTTTGTCCTTTTCATGACCTAATGACGAAAAAACTTGTGGGCGAGCCGTCGCCTCTCTTTTGGAACCGAGAATCTGTTGGCTCGGCTGCGTTTGCTTTTAACGACCGCTGGACATGGACCGGGACTGATACCGGCCTCGATACGTCGCGGAACAAATTGTACACTAATGGGAGGGACGTTGATGCCTTTGAACTCTAGTTCCTGCTTGTTGGTATATAGAATCAACACGAAAGCCAAGGCTGATGCCCATCTCATGCACATCCGATGCCACGCATCCGTGGTGTCTGCCTCCGCGCACGCGATGAACTTGACTACGTTTGGTCCCTTTTTGACTGGCAGTAAGTCACGTTGACGTCGCGTTTCACTGTTGACTAGGGCAATGCACCTTGGCCGCCGCCAAGAGATCGTGCTGAACACAGTTCGTGCTCTGCTGGCCGGCTGGCCGGCAGCAGCCAGCCCGCCAGCTGTTCGCCATCTGGCGCAGACTGTTCACTGGCGGCGCCTGTCGGCACACCGTGCGCCGCATAAAGCTGGTTTCCATCTCCTTGGGCTGTTCGTTCGCGTTTCTTCTCCTGCAACCCTTCCACACATCAACTTCCCACGCGTTCCACGCACATCTGCAACGCATCCAGCACAACTGCTTCCTTACAACCACTCGTCTCTATCGCAACGATAAAGTAAGTATCTGATTCTATCTCGGGTTATATATAATTTCATAAACTGACATCTGCAGCTATCCACCTTGTCGCAGCCATGGCCGACGAACTCGCTTCCACTCCCAAGAAGGAGCCCACCGCCGCCGAGGCCATGTTCTTCTTCGCCATCGTGAAGCATACCAAGAACAAGGCCGACATCGACTGGTCCGCTGTCGCCGACGAGCAGGGCTTCAAGAACGCCGAAGTCGCCAAGGTACTAACTCACCTTCGCCGTCCCTCCCCGCAGCTCCTTTCCGACGCCAAAGCAGCCCCAACCTGACCACAAACCCGTCAATAGGTGCGCTTCGGCCAGATCAAGCGCAAGCTCGGCATCTCGACCAACGCGGCCGACTCTCCTGGCAGCGCCAGTACCACCACCCGCGCGACCCCCAAGCGTGCTACCCCCAAGAAGCCCGCCACTCCCAAGAAGACCCCTGGCTCGACCGCGGGCACCCCGAGCAAGGTGCAGAAGAGCACCGGCCGCACCGGCACCAAGGGTCGTGGTCGCGCTGCTACTGCTGCTGCTGCGGCGGCCGCCGTCAAGAAGGAGGAGTCTGACAACGACGCGGCTGGTGGTGGCGACGAGGGTGACGACGACGACGACGAGACCATCATCGAGGGCGGCGGAACCAAGTCGACTGTCAAGTCGGAGGCTTATGAGGGTACCACGTCGCAGTTCGAGGAGGAGATGAAGTCCATCATGCGCAGCCGCGAGGGCGCCGAGGCCGAGGCCGAGGGTGAGACTGAGGATCCCTTCTAAACTTGCGATAACACTCATATGTCCTCATCTGAGGGGCGCCTGGTTTTATCCGGCGACTTTGGACCGGTCTGGTTTTGGGGTTGGCTTTGCTCTTTTCTTTTTTTCGGACGACGTCGGATGGACTTTGGACTGGAGATGGGGACTTGGTAGTTCAGGGCATGAGTCGACGGGCTTGGGGGTTTGTCAATGATTGCCGTGGGCAAGGATGATAATACGACTGTGACATGGCGGCTTCTGCCGTTATATTGTGCTCTTGGCCTCCACTGCATGATGCGTGACTGTCTCTGTATATTAGTCTGTTCCAAGAGCCCTATGCCTGGAGACGCCGTCTCTTCGTCAAGAGTGACAATATGCCCAAACTAACTCGAGAGCACGCGCTGTTGGGGAACGTTGACAGTGGCCACCCTGCGTTCTCTGCCACAGCGTCAACCAGCACTCTACCGAGTAACTGCCACCTGGTTGCCACGGTGCGAGGGCCAGGTCTGGCTCCTTGCCTGTTCTGAGAACTCTGACCGTCAAGCGAGTGAACGCTTGGGCGAACTGGGTGCCTTGTTTGCCCGTGAATGACCTTGGCAAGCCAGTAAGCTCTGGGGTAATGGCTTGCCGTTCATTCACTTGCCGTTCTGCCCATCGCCCAGCCCAAATCTCCCACCTCCCACTTCCATCCTGCCTCCGCCACTCTCCTCTTTACCACCGCGTCAGACTATCCCCTTCTTCAGAGTTGAAGAGCAGCCCAGGTCCTCACACCTGTCATCCACGGCCACTTACCAGTTTCCATCTTGACATTCTTGACAACCACCTGAGTGAGTGCCACGCTCTACTCCTCCCAAACCCGCGAATTCAGCTGACATTCAGACAGAAAAACACACCATGCCTCCCAAGAAGATCGCCGTCAACGCCGAAGGAGGCGACGCCCCCAACGGCCTCACCGAAAACGAGCTCCGCTTCATCAAAGCCCTCTTCGACAACATGACCCAGAAGCCCGACGCCAACTGGGACCAGGTCGCCGGAGACCTGGGCCTCAAGGACGCGAAGTGCGCTAAGGAGCGCTTCCGCCAGATGTCGGTCCGCCACGGCTGGCGCGACGGATCGGCGCCCACGCCCTCGCCTCGCAAGCCCAGGAACGGCGCGACCGGTCCGGCCGGCGACGCCAAGGTCAAGAAGACGCGCTCGCCCCGCAAGAAGGCCGTCGCTGCTGCCCCCGTCAAGAAGGACGATGACGAGGAGGAGGATATCAAGCCCAGCGTGGACGATGAGGATGTTAAGCCCAGCGTGGAGGACGAGGTCAAGGAGGAACAGGAGGGTTCTGATGGCGGAATCTGAGCTTTGGAACTTGAACTTCCCCCACACCATTTGAGTCTGGTGGGACGGCGCAGGGAGTTTGATTTTGGCACCGACGGCAAGTGCTATCACGGCGGTTTTCAACGGGCGGCATGGGACAAGGCACTTTTGGGACGGTCGTTTGGCGTCTTTTATCAGGGCTTGATTTCGCAGCAGTTTGATGGGAACATGAAGTCAGGGAGTTTGGACGCCAACCAGGAACAGCCGAGTTGACAACGGTACTTGCGAACTCAACGAGCTATTTGACTGCGCCTGACTTTTACATGCTTGAGGTTTTGAAATCTCTCAACCGTAGTGTGATCCATAGAGCATTTCTTTGGGATGGCGAGTTGCTCATCTCAGACAAGTTCTGCCACGGGACCCGCGAACCGACGCGTTTGCGTGGCAGCGCCAAAGCCTTTGTTGCAACTCCGTAGTCTTGCGACAATGAACAATCTCTTCAATCTACGTTAAGCCAGCTTCCGTACGCAAGACCGGTTGTCTGAAAGAAAATGCATCCACGAGAGACATGGCGATTCATTGCAGCACCGGCTGGGGGTTTCCGCAGACATGCACATCCTTGACGCAGGCCACGGGAACCAGTACAAAGGACTTGCGTGTACCCTACAGCTGCTTCAATGAGACTGCAAAGCTGCCATCCCCAACGTGTAAGCTAGTGGTAGGAAACTCGCCGTCTGGCGCCCGTTCAGTCCACTCCTGTGTGAACAGTGTGTGACAGGCAGACGCTTGACCACGCGCAGCACGAACTCGGGCCTGCATGGTTCTGCGAGATATCAGCACCCGCATTGCGGTTCTCATGAATTCCAACCTTAAAGAAAGCACATTATGCCAAGTCTTGCTTTTGTCCAAGACAGAAGCATGCTGCTGTTGAAAGAAAGGACGCTCAACCGGTGCGCTGTAATCCGGTGTTGCCAGGCGCGACGGGAGGCAGACCGGACGTGTTCAGAGCAAGCAGGACAGCCAAAACAGCACCACGAGTCTTCCATCCGTACCTGAGCCTCTGCTTCCACCGCGTTCTTTTTCATACTATAAAGTCCACCTCTGCCACCCCGTGTTGCTTGGATCAGATTGCGTTCCTGCACCCGCCACCACTCACTTGCATTCATCTGCCCACGCCAACTCACCTCGCTGCACAGTCTTCAAGCATTCATCTTTGCTGCATTGCATTTAACCACACTCATCAGGTATGTCTTCCCTATGAATGTTTTGCTGCCGTCGTCCGCCCCTCTCATTGATTGCTGGTGTGCATTTTGGCGGGAAGCTACGCTTCGTCCCTGCACACACTGTCTCTCCCCCCTCCCCCAAACATTCTCATTATCCTCGAGAGGTTTCGTCCAAGACATCCGACAGCTGACAGGTCTAAGCATAGCTTTCGACGAAAATGTCAGCGACCACTCCCACGAACAAGACTGAGAACCGTGCCGATGAGCAGGTCAGGTTCCTGGTCTGCTGCATCAAGCATGCCAACAATGGCAAGGTACCGTTGGCACCCTCACCTCGCAGAATGTCGCAGATAGCTGACATCTTTCGCAGCCCAATTTTGATGCCGTGGCCCAGGAGATGAACATCGTCTCCAAGGCAGCTGCGTAAGTTCTTGCCCCAGGCCCTGCGATGACACATGACACTGGAAGATTGCTGACCACACATCCTTTAACAGCCAGAAACGATACGAGCGTTTGCTCAAGGCCCACGCCGCGAGGGCCGCTTCTAAGGAGTCTGACGACACGGACATTGCCCAAACTCCCCAGTCGACCCCAGTCAAGAGAAAGAACGTCCGTGGCACTCCCGTCAGCGCCAAGAAGGTCAAGGTCGAAGTCGTCAAGAAGGAAGAAGAGCAGTCTCCCCAGCCGGTCCGCGAGACTGCACGTGTCCGCGAGACTGCACCCGAGCCATCTTCCCCTGAGTCCGCCGACGAGCGCAATAAGGAACAGAAGGACGAGGCCGTCAAGCAGGAGGTCAAGGACGACTCTGACCTCTCTGGTGCGTCTGCCGACCACGGCAATCGTCCCAAGAAATAACTGATTAATAACGCCAGATGCCCCAGACGCTCTCAGTGATACGGAGGACGGAGTTTGAATTTTGATTCTCACTCTTCTCACTCAAGCGCAACTGGCGGTACCGGCCGTTGGGGTTTTTGGAATGTCTACGTGTAGACAGGGGCTACGGAATTGGGATGGGGGGAACGGCATTGGAAGAAGGGATGCTTTGAGATTTTATCTCCTTTGCAGATAGATTTGTTACCATCCCACTCATCATGAATTGATTTTGCCGTCTCAACACTTGCACTTGCTCCGACATGCCAGCTTGACCAGGGAATGCGGACGCACACACCAGCGGCAGTGCACTGAATTTCCCTCCCAGGGAAAGTGCACTGAATCTTCAGGCCTCGATTCACTAGCCACAACTGTTGGAAAATTTCAGCGATTCTGTGTGCGTTGTGTGCGTTTCGCGGGGTGGCTGGTGCCCGGTGAACAGCCAGAACCGAGTGTTTTGCTCGCACGCAAACCTCCCATCCCCCTGTGCAGACGTGACCACCAGATATCGCAACAGAACTGCGATTTTGGCCGATCAAAAACGATGGATGCATTAATTCCGGCAAGCCTTTTCTCCGACAAAACTCAGAATTGTCAAAACTCGTCCCTGTCGCGGGTGGTGGCGGAGTGTTTGGGCGCGCACGACGCCAACACATGGGACGGACTTCGATATGGCAAACGTTTCCAACGCAAAAGCGCCACCGGTTCTCCTGCAACGTCGGCGCAGCAAAATTTGCACCTGGTTAGGGCCGAAGCCGTTGAAACTTGCAAACCTCGGGCTGTTCAGCGTGTACAGCGCCTGAGTGCACTGAACACGCGGGACTACAGGCGTTGCCACGCCCCTGAGGTCGCCATTCACTGCGCGTTGCTGGGGGAAACCCAGCCTCATCCTGTTCATCTGTTCAGCACGCAGTGCCCTACTAGCCACAGTGCTGCGCGGCTCGCTTCCGTGACAGGTCCTGTTCGTGGTTCAATAACAGCCTGCACTCGTCCCCCATCCCAGCCTCCTCCCTCTTTCTCCTTCACCATCCACCATCGTCTCTGCGAAGCTTCGTGGCCACCATCCACAGAGCTTCGTTCAACCATCCAACCCAACTCCAACGTTCTATCCGGCTTTATAAGTCGTTAATCGTCTTTGACCCCTTCAACAATCAAGCTTGATTATCCGTTCAGACGGAAAATCTGCATCGCACACGCCAGACTGTGCACTTCCACTCGATTGCAAACGAGTGATCATCATGGCTCCTCACGCCAACAACACTGATGGAGGAGAAGGAAGCAACGGTGATGACTATCGCCTTCCCAACACCGTCTACAAGGCTCCGTCTCGTGCGGCTTCTGAGCACAATCTCATCACTCCCGAGGGAGGAAACGCCGCTGTTCAGCAGGGCGGACCCGTTCAGCCCATCAATGGAGCTGCTATCAACACCGGACCAGATGCCAATGCCGCTTCCGTTTCCAACAACTTGAACGCCAACATGATCATCAACGGCAACAATGTGGCCAACGGCAACGTTTCTCACACTGGATCTACCGGTCGGCGATCCGTTTCGGCTCCTCTCACTACCCTCGACCGCAACGGAGTCGGTTTCGTTTGGGGCGGCACCAACCAGCCCAACCGTTCCCTCAGCACTGGTCCCTGGACCGAGGGATTCAGCCAGGTCATGAACCAGCGCCAGCAGCAGAACGGCCGCGGATGCATCCCATCCCCCATTGGAACTTGTCACGCTGCTGCCAACATTGCCGGCACTGCCTCTTCTACCCTTGTCGACGGCGGTATCGTTCAGAATGGCGCCGCTTCTGCGCCCCTCCCTACTGCCGACACTCCGACTACCCCTTCGTCCGACGCTCAGACTCTCGCTGAGACCGTCGAGAACGTCGTGGAGCAGCAGCTTGCCTCCGCTCTCGGTCCTCTTCGCATCATCATCAACAGTCTCAGCCAGAGTATTCAAGCCACGCGCCAGGAGAACTCAGATTTCCATGAGCAGAACAACATTCTCAGCCGCCAACTTGATCTCCAGTATCAGCAAATCCAGCAGCATTCGGACAATGCCAACGCCCAGATCCGAGCTCTTCTCAACCTCATTGAAACTCAGACCGGCAATATTCAGGGCAATACCCAGAACAATGGCCAGAGCGTCAGCACTGAGACCAATAACGATCTCATGAACCAGATCACTCAGATGGTTGCGGCTACCGCTGATACCAACGACGATCTCGTGAGCCAGATCACTCAGATGGTTGCCGCTACCGCTGAGACCAATGACGGTCTTGTGAACCAGATGATCCAGATGGTTGCCGCTACTCCCCGCTACATGAGCAGCGTCATGCAGCATTTGACTATGACCGCTATGCTTCCGGTTCAGACTCAGGCGCTTCAGCAGTCTGTTCTCCAGGCTGTCCAGGCTACCGTTCAGCACGCGATTCAGACCACTGTCCGGCTTGCCATTCAGGACGCAGTTCAGAACACAGTCCAGAATATCCACGACACGGTTCAGCAGTCCGTCCAGGCTGCTGCTTATGAAGCCGCGACCACTCAGACACGCAACGCTCTCGAGGTCGTTGTCGGCACCCAGCGAGAGGCATTTGACAACGTCCTCCGCTTCCACATCCAGCGCTCCATCGAGTCTGGATCAGACCAGACGCAAGTCGGAACTCCCGACAGTCTTAATGCCGAGACTTTCGGCAACTACGGTCTTGGTCTCGTTGATGGCACCGCCCATCACGAGAACTTTGACGACGAGACGGCCGACACGGCCACTGCCCTCGATGAGGCCCAGCTTCTCGACAATGAGAAGCCGGCCAAGCGATGCGGCAAGATCAAGGCCTTCTTCAAGAAGGTCTTCAAGTTCGGCGGCAACTAACTGCCGGAGACAAAAGTACCTATCTGCTGGAAGTCCCGGGGGGGTGGAGGATGTGTAAAGTATGGGGGGCCGGGCCGAATGTACGAGAGTTTGGGAACGGACGGCCCTGGGGGGAAACGGGCTTCATGTTGCAGATAGGTACACGTAGATAGAAAATTCATGGGGAATTTCCATGACTCTTGATGCTCGTATCGTGATGATGGAGGGCCACTGGAGAACCAGCGAGGGGATGGACCAGGGGAGTACGCCTTGTACCTGAGACGCCTGCTATGACGACCCAGGTGCAGTCAGATCACCAGTTCACCCGTCGCGATTGACTTCAAGCCGATTCATGACGTTCCCCGTAGAGTAACGTCCACGCCGAGATGTCCGTGGGAAACGTCTCGACGGTGGATACCAGCGGTTGAGATGGACGTTGGAATGCGGCACGGTCCTGTCCGCGCCCGGCGGTTCGACCTCCCTGCTCGGACAACGCGGTTAGCAGCCGCATGGTGGCCATTGCCGAAGCTCAACCTGCAGTCCCAATGCCGGCCGTCCACATCACTCCAGGACCGTCCGCGTCGTCTTGAGTCTTGAACCTCACGATGGTTTGTTTGAGCCGTCGGTTCTAGAACGACATGGAAAGTAGGCTACTTCGCGACTTCCCCGGCGTAGAATGCGCTGTGGGGCCGCTGCTAGCCTTGGGGCCCCCATGATTGGGCAGCCCGCGATCCCCGGGCAACACATTTTTGCCGAGCGTCTCCGTGCAATTTTTTGGGGCCGCAAGAGGGAGCTTCTCCAATTGAACGAACCTCTTCTTCCTCCCTCTCCACGTCCCGTCGAAGCTGCATCTCCCCAGCCTCAGCACAGCGACTCCTTTCTCCTGCTTCCTTGTACACTACCTTATTCCTTTTAATCTCTCCCGTCCTCACCCCGACACACACACAAGATGCAGCGCGCACTGAGCTCGCGAGCCAGGGCCACGGCTCTGTCCTCGGCTGCCTCCCGGTATCGCGCCGGAGCCGGCCTCGGCCAGCAGCTGCGCTTCGCCCACAAGGTAGGACCGAGAATGCTTCTCCGAGCGCATCCATCGGCCCTCTAACGCGTCGTGCAGGAGCTCAAGTTTGGTGTTGAAGGCCGCGCCGCTCTCCTGGCTGGTGTCGACACCCTGGCCAAGGCCGTCGCGACCACCCTGGGTCCCAAGGGCCGAAATGTCCTGATTGAGTCCAGCTTTGGCTCGCCCAAGATCACCAAGGGTGAGCCTCTCCGCTCATCGGAAGCAACGGCATCGTGAGCTCTGCTGACTCTCTACCAGATGGTGTCACTGTCGCCAAGGCCGTCAGCCTCAAGGACAAGTTCGAGAACCTCGGCGCCCGGTTATTATCAGACGTCGCCAACAAGACCAACGAGGCAGCCGGTGACGGCACCACCACCGCCACCGTCCTCGGCCGCGCCATCTTCTCCGAGACCGTCAAGAATGTCGCCGCTGGCTGCAACCCCATGGACCTCCGCCGCGGCATCCAGGCTGCTGTCGATGCCGTCGTCGACTACCTCCAGAAGAACAAGCGCGACATCACCACCAGCGAGGAGATTGCTCAGGTCGCCACCATCAGCGCCAACGGCGACAGCCACGTCGGCAAGATGATCGCCAACGCCATGGAGAAGGTCGGCAAGGAGGGTGTCATCACCGTCAAGGAGGGCAAGACCCTGCAGGATGAGCTCGACGTCACCGAGGGCATGCGCTTCGACCGCGGCTTCGTCTCCCCCTACTTCATCACCGACACCAAGGCCCAGAAGGTTGAGTTTGAGAACCCCCTCATCCTCCTGTCTGAGAGGAAGATCTCCGCCGTTCAGGACATCATCCCCGCCCTTGAGGCCTCTACCCAGCTGCGCCGCCCCCTTGTCATCATTGCTGAGGACATTGACGGCGAGGCCCTTGCTGTCTGCATCCTGAACAAGCTCCGCGGCCAGCTCCAGGTCGCTGCCGTCAAGGCTCCCGGCTTCGGTGACAACCGCAAGTCCATCCTTGGCGACATTGCCGTCCTCACCAAGGGCACCGTCTTTTCTGACGAGCTCGACATCAAGCTTGAGAAGGCTACCCCCGACATGCTCGGCTCCACCGGCTCCATCACCATCACCAAGGAGGACACCATCATGCTCAACGGCGAGGGCTCCAAGGACGCCATTGCCCAGCGCTGCGAGCAGATCCGCGGCGTCATTGCCGACCCCACCACCTCCGAGTATGAGAAGGAGAAGCTCCAGGAGCGCCTGGCCAAGCTCTCTGGCGGTGTCGCCGTCCTCCGTGTCGGTGGCTCCTCTGAGGTCGAGGTCGGTGAGAAGAAGGACCGCTTCGTTGATGCCCTGAACGCCACCCGCGCTGCCGTCGAGGAGGGCATCCTGCCCGGTGGCGGCACTGCCCTCATCAAGGCCTCCAGCCAGGCCCTCAACGAGGTCAAGGCTGCCAACTTCGACCAGCAGCTCGGCATCACCATCGTTAAGAATGCCATTACCCGACCTGCCCGCACCATCATCGAGAACGCCGGCCTCGAGGGCTCCGTCATTGTTGGCAAGCTTCTCGACGAGTACGCTGCCGAGTTCAACAAGGGCTTCGACAGCGCCAAGGGCGAGTACGTCGACATGATCCAGGCCGGTATCCTTGACCCCCTCAAGGTCGTCCGCACTGGTCTCATCGACGCTTCCGGTGTTGCCTCCCTGCTCGGCACCACCGAGGTTGCCATCGTTGAGGCTCCCGAGGACAAACCCGCCGGCCCTCCCATGGGTGGCATGGGCGGTATGGGCGGCATGGGCGGCATGGGTGGCATGATGTAAGATGTGTGACGACGTTGGGCGACGACGGACGCGGCGTTGTATAAAAGAAATATCACTGGGCATGGATTCGGTGTTACGGTGGATGGTTCAAGTGGCCTTGCAATCTCCGCTCTATCTCTTGACATGTCTTCATACCCCCCTGCAGATTTTGAGGCACACCTTGGAGTCCCTGTATTATAGCACTAGGCCCGTGTAGAACAGCTGAAAAGCACTGTGTTAAGGAAGGAGAGCTTGAGCGCTGTGACGAGGTGTCGATGGTCGACCTGGTGATATCCTAAATGTATTATGTATGTGATTCAACATCACCACAGTGACGCCCGAGCTTCAAGACGTAGCAATGCCGATAGTCTTCGGAGTGTTTGCGTGGCCCGAGAGGATCAATTGCGGCTGCCTTGGACAATATCACCTCCCTAAGGCCACCACGCTGTTTATCTGGGTGCCTCAACCGAAACTGGTGCCTGGTCGTGCCGTCGGGCTGTGTTGCGCACTCCGGGAAGGTCACGTGGGGCGCATCTCGCGGCCAACCCCACCATGATGATGTGGTGTTTTTCTCCGCCGGGCTGCCCCCCCTCCAAGCTGTCTGCTAATAAACACCCGCCCAGTTCCACCTCTCCTGGCTACATCGGTAAAGACGCACCCTTCTCCATCCGCTTCGTCCTCGCACCACGACGTTGCGGCGCCTAATCGCATATCCTTTCGGTGAGGCTTCAACACCAAAAACGGGGCTCCCTCGCGCGGTTTGCGACTCGCAGGAACCCCCGCAGCGATGCAAGAAGGGGTAGCTGACAATGTCTTAGCCCATCACCCCTCATTCCCACCGTCGTCTCCTGACGTGGACCGTAATCATGGTACGTCGCCTCCCGCCTCAACAACTAATGCCGGTCGCTGACACGACGATGTAGTCTCAATCCGGGTTCGTAGCCTCCTCTACTCAATCGCGCAATGTTGCCGACCCCGTCGCTCCCTCTGCCCCCTTTCCCCCTCTCCCACTTCGGCGATGAAGCGGGCAGGCAGGGTGCACGGCGAGCTTGGGCTGCGGTGGCGCAAGGCCGACCTGGTGCTAACGCAAGACGATATCCAGAGCCACCGTTTCGCAGGAGTGCATAACTGCCTACAACGACCTGAAGCTGTCGAAGAAGTACAAGTACATCGTCTTCAAGCTGTCGGACGACAACAAGCAGATTGTCGTTGAGGAGGCGTCCCCCGACAAGGACTGGGAGAACTTCCGTGAGAAGCTCATCAACGCCACCGCCAAGAGCAAATCGGTATGCCAACTCGGATAGCATAGCAACCGCAACCTTCCATCTGACTGAAAGCAGGGTGCTGTCGGCAAGGGCCCCCGATATGCCGTCTACGACTTCGAGTACAACCTGGCCTCCGGAGATGGTGTGCGGTATGGATTCACCATTTGTCCTACTCAATTCGTCGCTCGGCTAATTCTTGGTACAGAAACAAGCTCACCTTCATCGCCTGGTCTCCCGATGATGCCGGTGTTCAGGTGCGTAGACGGTGCGAGACCCACTGCTGAGCCACATAGCTGACCTGCTCCCACAAAATAGCCCAAGATGATCTATGCTTCCTCCAAGGAGGCCCTCAAGCGATCCCTGACCGGCATTGCGACCGAGCTGCAGGCCAACGACCCCGACGACATCGAGTACGACACCATCATCAAGGTCGTCAGCAAGGGTCTTGCCGGTTAAGGCCTTTCACCCGTCGTCGCAACCGGGACAAGCCGTCTAGATGAGCGCATGAATTGACTACCTTATGTTCGGCTCTAGACATGACAAGCCTACGATTATGATGCAGAGTTGACGGTGAGAGGTGAAAACGAAGCCAGTGCGCAGTGGTTTCTGGGAGGGCCATCGTATTTGGTCACTGGTGTTGATGGAGACCCAATGCAAAGTTGTTTTCAGCCCTTCTGATATCACGCCAAGAAATAAAAGTCACAGAGATGAGGGTCCCCAAAATTCTCCATGGCTCATAGAATTCGTAGCGCGCTTTCGCTCGTGTATTTCGCTTGACGATTATGGCGCCGACTTGCTCGACTCCCAACTCGACTTGAACAGGCGCGACAGCTCCTCGGCCGCCGCCTGATCCTTTAACCGCTGCATCAGATAGCCCTTGAGATCGGCCCAGAAGGCGTCCGTCTCCACTGCTGCAGTTCCCGTCGCCTCGGCGGGCGCAGTGGTCGCAGGCTGCTCAGGCGGGATGGCTGCTGAACCTCCAATCACCATCACCGAGAACTCTACCGCCTTGTCGTTTTCCCCAACAACCTCCTTCAGAATCTTGCTATCCGTCAAGGGTCTCTTGTTGTAAAGAATCTTCATCTTGTCGACCGGTATCCTCGTCTGGCTGGAAACGGCGTTCTTGATATCGAGGAGCGACGTCGCGAGGGGCTGCGACGTCAGCTTGATGTCGAGGGGCGGGTTTCGCAGAGACTTGAGCGTGACGGTGATGCTGCGTTCCTGGCCGGGGGCGAGGCTCTTGGGCTGGCTCATGGCCTGCGGCATGCGGGGGAGGATGTACTGCTTCTGGTCAGCATCCGCGAAAGCCAGCGCCATGTTGCATCACTCGCAACGAAAGCCCGGGGATGACTTACCGGTGGCCGCGCCGGAAAGTTCTTGGGGTCCTCGACATGATCGGGGGATAGCTTGACGGGACGAGAGTCAAGCGAGGACAAAAATGTCCTTGCAAATGCGACTTCCGTCATGGTGGGCGACGTTGAGAGCTGGATCGCCTTTGATCGAAGCCGTGTGCGAGTAGCAGCAAGCTGTCTGAGGTGGGGTTGAAGGTGGGCTGGAGGAGAGAAGTGGAGGACAACTGCCAGAGTTTGGAAACTTCGAAATGGGCGAAAAGCACTGGCGCTCCTCACGGTCGTAGTCTGAAAAGAGTCCTCTCAATCTCAAAAAGAATCTAATGTCTCATCCCTCTGCTTCTTGGTGACGACGAGCCAAGCGCCAGGAGCACCGTGGAGCTCAACGGTGGTGGTTGCGCGCCACCAAAGCCGCTTATGTAACTCAGCAGCCCACCCGCTCACTGATACGAAGTTTCGCCGACCGTATCGGACCCCTGCGCCGGCGCAAGTTGACGAAAAAAAAGTTCGGCGGGGCGGACCATCCTGCAGCGTCGACGAGACATTGCTGGGAATTTTGCAGCATCTCGCCCACGGAGACACACGATCTCCAAAGGACCTCCCTTCCACCGTTTCACCCAATTCACTCACGATGGGTGCCGGACGCCGCATGGCCAGAAAACAGGGCCCGCCCGAGGCCCTGTCGGAGGAACACTTTGCCAGGTTGAAGCGCAAGGCCGGTCTGCCTGTCGACACGCCTGTCGAAGCGCCTGGCAACAAGCGACGGAGGACGGGGAAGAATGCGGTCGCCAAGCCCGCTGGCAAGAAGACGGCGGCACCGGCGGCGAAACAGACGAACGGAAAGAAGCCCGCAAAGGAGACCCAGCCGGCCAAGACCAATGGCAAGGCCAAGCCCGTGGTGAAGACGATCATGCCCGGCCTCGAGGACGACTCGGACGAGGAACTTGACGACGAGTTCGACCTGGACAATGCAGACTTGTCAGACGACGACGATGAGGCGCCTGCGACGCTCGGCGACGATTTTCTGGGCTCCGACTCGGGGTCATCGGTCTTCGACTCGGACGAGGAGGGCGGCCAAGGGAAGCACGTCTTCTCCGAAGACGAGGACGAGTCGGACGCCGAGGAGAAGCTCACAGCCGCCAACATTGCCGGCCTGACGAGGAAGCTGGACCGCCAGATGGCGGAGGAGGCTGCCGCCAACGCTGCTGAGCTGGCTGAGAGCGCCATGAAGACCAACATTGAGGGAGACAGGCCGCATATCCTGGACGACGACGAGGAGGACGACATCGCCGGCAAGCCCAACGCCATGCTGGCGCCCGACCTGCAGCTCCTCCGCACGAGAATCTCGGAGAACATCAGAGTGCTCGACGACTTCGCCAACCTGTCCGAGGAGGGCCGGTCACGGTCCGAGTACACGGCGCAGCTCATCAAGGATATCTGCTCCTACTACGGCTACTCCGAGTACCTGGCCGAGAAGCTGTACAACCTCTTCACGCCGCGCGAGGCGTTCGCCTTCTTCGAGGCCAACGAGACGGCGCGCCCCATCGTCATCCGCACCAACACGCTGCGGACGCACCGCCGCGACCTCGCGCAGGCGCTCATCAACCGCGGCGTCACGCTCGAGCCCGTCGGCAAGTGGTCCAAGGTCGGCCTGCAGATCTTCGAGAGCAACGTGCCGCTCGGCGCCACGCCCGAGTACCTCGCCGGCCACTACATCCTCCAGGCGGCGTCGTCGTTCCTCCCCTGCATGGCGCTCGACCCGCAGGAGAACGAGCGCGTGCTCGACATGGCCGCCGCGCCCGGCGGCAAGACGACGTACCTGGCCGCCATGATGAAGAACACGGGCGTCATCATCGCCAACGACCCCAACAAGGCCCGTGCCAAGGGTCTCATCGGCAACATCCACCGCCTCGGCGCCCGCAACGTCATCGTCTCCAACTACGACGCCCGCGAGTTCCCCAAGCCCATGGGCGGCTTCGACCGCGTCCTCCTCGACGCGCCCTGCTCCGGCACGGGCGTCATCGCAAAGGACCCCAGCGTCAAGACCAACAAGACGGAGATGGACTTCATGCAGCTGCCCCACACCCAGAAGCAGCTCCTCCTCGCCGCCATCGACTCGGTCAACCACTCGTCCAAGTCGGGCGGCTACGTCGTCTACTCGACCTGCTCCGTCACCGTCGAGGAGAACGAGCAGGTCGTCCAGTACGCCCTCAGCCGCCGCCCCAACGTCCGCCTCGTCGACACGGGCATCTCCTTCGGCCGCGAGGGCTTCACCAGCTTCATGGGCAAGAAGTTCGACGCCAGCCTCAAGCTCACCCGCCGCTACTACCCGCACACCTACAACGTCGACGGCTTCTACGTCGCAAAGTTCCACAAGATCGGCCCCACCCCGCCCAAGACCTCGGCCGCCCGCGACAGGGCCGCCGCGGCCGCCGACGACGACGAGGTCATCGACAAGACGCCCATCACCGACGACGACAGCGAGGACGGCAGCGGCGCCAAGAAGAAGAAGAACGACGACTTTGGCGGCTGGGACGACGACGAGGACAAGGAGTACATGGAGAAGGGCAGGAGGAACGCCATGCGCAGGAGAGGCCTGGATCCCAGGAGCAACAAGAAGGCGGCCAAGAAGCAGTCCAAATAGATGTACATTTAATACCAGGCGTTTTCATCACAGGATCTTACAGGAATACAAAAAGAGGGCAAGACTTGTGAAGCAAAGTAAAGTCATGTGTGTACGGACGCGCGTGTGTGTATGTGTGTCACAAAACAACAAACTGTCAATATTATTATACTCGCCAGCCGCCCGTCAGAGGACCTATCTTTGCTTTCCATGCGAAAGAAGTAACTAAGAGGTCGTCAGTCATCATTTGCATCGTCATCGTCATGAACCCTCCCAGTGCCTGTCCGCACCCTGCCTTGCGCGCCAGGCGACCCATAGGTCGCCTCTTCTGTTGGTTTTTTTCTATCGCCCAAGCCTGTTCGAGTCCCAGCCGTCCAATGCAGATTACAACAATACAGTTCCCCCGCAATGCAGTGAAACCGAGGATGCTAAAGGTGGGGGGAAGCCGTGCCCGAGTCGGCCGGCCTCCCCCATCGTCGTGAAGGTTAATTTGTTTAGTCCAGTGGGCGAGGCTCACATTGTGAGCTCATCAAACTGGGAGACGAGATCGCGGATGGTCCATCTCCAGACCTCGCGGTCTCGGAGACCGCGCCCAACCCATTTCTCGCACTTCTTGCGCCATCGATCTTCCTCTTCGCGCTGGCGCCGAACGAACTCCGGGCCAACATCAAACTCCTCACCCACGAGCCAATCGTCTTTGATGTCAGTCGCTCGGCCGTCTCCCTTGTCGTCAGCTGCAGACTTGTCCTCGAGATCGGGGATGTCTTTGAAAACGTCCTCATCGTCGTCTAGGGCATTGAACCCATCCATGGTATCGCCCGCCTCCGATTTGGCGCTACCTTGTGCACCAAGCTTCAGCCAGCACATGTGCTCTGGATCAAACACCATGCCGCCCACGACCTGGACGCCCTTTGTCGCACTGATGTTCGTGATCAAGGCAGGACGGGGTGTCGCAACCTCCTTTTCTCTGACCATATGCTGGGGAACAGAGACGGTGGACGGGGTCGAGGCTGGAGCGTTGTCAAAGGCATTCAAAGCGTTCTCATTGCCCTCCCAGCGGTAGGTCTCGGCGTTGTAAAACATTCCATTCACGACTGCGAATCATTAGTATTGGCTCAAACATTGCTGGCAGAAGATGCCTACCCTTTGACTCTTTACCCGAGTTGAGGTTTGCGATGAGATGGGGTTTGAGTTGCTGAGGTGGTTTGGAACGCTTCTTGGAACGAACAGTCGGCTGGGGCAGAAGGGACTGAAGTCCCACGTTGCCTCGAGTCGCCAGCTGTGCTTCTCTCTGAGCAGTCACAGGGGCAAGGGGACCGCTGCTGGGGACACGCTGTGCCCGCGCCGTCTCGCGCGCAATTCGGCTGGCGGCAGTATCGCGTGCAAATCGAGGCGTCTGAGTTGGCTTGGCGGTAAACGGAGTCGGGGGAGCTGGGGTGCATGTCCTGTCAGGGAGGATGTTCTGGAAACCCCTGGGTCTCGCAGCTGGCTTGGCAGTGCCCACAATGGGCTGCTTCAGATACCGTGTTTCGGCTTCTCGGGAGGTAGGGAGGTCGTCAAAGCCGTCCAGCTCATGCCCGTCGCCAAAGTGCTTCTTGTTCTTGGGCTTGCTCAGCCGCTCCCAGGTGTCAGCAGCCACGCGATAGCGCTGAGGGCTGGGCGACCGTGCTCCAGATCTCGAGAACGAGCGGGAGAACGGCCGAATGTCGATAGCATTGTCGGAATCGTGGCGACGGAACTGCCGCAGCGTCTTAGACGCGACATGCTGAGACTGAGACTGCGACGCCCCAGCGGGAAGGAAGGGGAGATGAGTCCGTCTGGATTGAGTGCCGGGGCTATCCGTCATGCCAGCTCGCTGGCGTTCGACGGGCGTCTTAGGCCGAAGCGACGACTGCGGTCTATTTGTGTCGGTCCTCGAGGGCGGCCGGTCAAACGTGCGCGCAGTCGACGGTTTGGCGGGAGTGTTCAAAGCACGCACGGCAGGGAGAGACCGCTTTTGCTTAAGAAGCTGCGCGCTGGTAGTGGAGGGCTCGTTACGAAGCGACGAGAAAGATGACCTGGCGCCAACCTCTCGGCGCTGGGGGGTCAGAGGAGGAAATGCACGACCGGGAGATGTCGTAGTGGGCGTTGGAAGACTCGTGACCGATGATTGCGAAGCATGTCCCATCCTCGACTGCGACCGTCGGCCTCTATGGGCAAATGTCGAACCACCGCTCTCATAAACGGGCTCAAGCTGAGTGGAGCGCGCCCTCTCGTGGCTCAGGCGGGGAATTCGAGTTTGGGTACTAGGTTTGTTGGTGAAGGTCAAAGAAATGGCCGTCTTGGGACGAGCCGGGCTGGCGGGGGCCGACTCTTTGATCTTGATGTTGCGATGAAGAGTAAGCTTTCCCGAGTCGAAAACCTTGCCATCCGCGATGTCGAGGCCATCAAAAAAGTCCTGACGGTCCGCCTCCGCTGGCGCGGTCTTTTTGGGAGACGGCTCAGGCTCCTCGGGAATCCGCTCTGGAGACTTGCTCTTCTTTCGGTGCTGCAGCCTCTCTCGGAAATTGACAGGTCCAGGAGGAAGAACAAGGCCGTCAAAGGTTTCATCCTCACTCTCAGCCGTGATGGAGCTCGAGACGCTCGGGCTCAATGCAGATGCCGAGGAACTTCTGTTGGACCGCCCGTCTCGCCGGGTCCCGCCGTACCTGGTGCCGAGACTACCCTCTCCCCAATCCAAATCCTCACCTCCAGAGGGCGTCTTGGGAATGTCTTTCCTAGTCGACAGTCTCAACTTTCCGTCCGAAGGCAGCTCAAAGTCGTTCTCAAAGTCATCGTCCGTGTCCTTCATTTTGCCAGCACTGGCAGACTTGCTCGGTGTTGGCGGCGTGACAAGGGAAACGGGCTCTGGGGCTGCACGGCTCTTGGACACCTTGATCGTGTCGCAGCCATCACCAAAAAAGTCGTCGTCGTCAGTGTCCTTGAACTTGTCTAGGTTGAGAGCTGCCGACAAGGCACTGGTGGTTGACTGTGTCGAGCTTCTGCGGTCAAATTGGCCCGCAGTGATGCCAGGCAGCGTTTTGAGCTTCGTCGGGCTCGTTTGCACCGAACCCGCGCTGACTTGCCTAAGCGACTCTGGAAATTCGGATTCGTCCTTTGGTTTGATCTTCAGTCCCTGGGACGACTCTGGCAATTCCAGATCGTTTTCCCAGTCCTCCTGGATGATTTTCTTAATCTTCCTTCCGCCCAGTCGTTTGATGGTGCCGCCCATGAGTGCCGACGAGGGAATGTTCTTGGGAAGTGGGATGCCGGCATGCTCTGCAGCAGCAATGGCATCGAGGGTGGTGGCTTCGTCGTCATCGGGAAGATGGAGCTGCTTTTCTTCGCCAAACCAGGACTCCAAATCGGAGCGGAGTGAGACGTGTGACGAGTTGGAGTCACGGCGACGCGAAGGGCCTTGGTTTGTGCTTGTCGTGGTGGTGACGGAGCCTCGAAAGGACAGCTCGTCGCCGTCGACCAAGAAATCGTCGTCATCATCCCAGTTCTCGATCTCGTCCGCCACTGGCAGGCGTGGTTTCAGTCGTAGGGTGTCCATGATGTCGTGTATCAGTGGTTGTGGTGCCGCGTGCCGCGAGTAGTTACGAAGCAGCCCTCCAGGTTGAGGCTGCTTGCATGTGCGACCGAGGAGCACGAGCACGAAGGTCAATTAGGCGGACTCATAATCGCCAGATGAGCCAGTGAAGTGCTTTCCCGTCCCGAGCAGCTGGTGCGAGAGTGTGAGCGACGCTCTATGACGTTTCGAATGGCCAGATGTCGAGGTTTTCCGAGGCGAGGTCGTGTGTCGGATGTCGCTGGCTGGATTCGGTCGCCGTGTTTCGAGCGTTGCGACGTGAATGGTGTCAAAGGCGGGGGGTGGTGGGAGTGCGCCCCCAGGCACGGACAGGCGACGAGGCCGTGCAGAGCAAACGAGGCCGAGGCTTGTCGACGGAAGCCGGCTCGCGTACTGAGGGCGATGCTTGCGCAACGCAGGATGCAAGATGTCGAGGTGCGAGGTTGATGATGCAGGCCCGAAGTCAGGCCAGATCGGAGGAGACTGGTTGGTGCTGGTGGTTGTGGGAAAAGACGAAAGGCTGGGGGCGAGCCTCAGAAACGGTGCGGTGCTCGTGGTGGCTGGCACAGTGGGAGGCGTTGGGCCAGCTGGAGTTCAGGTGCAACGGCGCTGGCTGGCCAGTCGAGTCTGGGTCGCAACGGTGGGGCGCACGCTAAGAACGCGCCTGGAAGGCCCCTAAAAAAAAGACGAGGTGCGGAGCGGTCGCTGCGCCGGCTGGGGTCAGGTTCAGGTTCCAGGTTGAAGCCTCAGGGCCTGAGTCGCCTGAGGGATTGTGCCTGAGCCCACGGGTCAGGCCGCCAATGGAGAGCGGGCGCCAGGGACTGGTTGACTGGGACTGGGTCCTCTCCCCGCGATTCAGCGCTACCCGCGTGCGGACTAGTGTCGCTGCCGCCCTTTCGCGTTTTCAATGCACGAGACCGATGCGCACCTGCAGCCTGCAGCTCATCGGCGGGGACGGTGGAAGCAAGCGGGAGGGCGGGAGGGCGGGAGTGGGCGGCGAGGCACTGTGTGCCGAGTCGTAGTGGCCAGGTGAGAATAGGCTCGGGAGAGAGGCGTGAGGCGATGCAATGAGCCAGTCGGCGTCGGCAGCGGCCACAGCAACGGCAACCACGCCACCACCCAATTTCGTTTGCGTATGTACTCGCGCGGGAGTATGTACAGGATTGGATCGAGCGGCAAAAATTGAGAGAGGCAGGTCGTCGTGTGTCTGTCCCGTCCAGGCGCAGGCGGCGGCGGCGCGCGCGACTCGAGAAGCGAGCGGGCCCTCTTGAAATACAAGCCCCTCCCGCTGTCAAAAAAAGAAGTGAGGATTTAGGGGTCCTCGCTCGGTTGCCCGGATGACTCGAAATTACCGTCATTTCTCTGCGAAATCAAAAGCGGCCCACCGCTAATATATCGAAAGGGCCTCCGTGACGCACTGAGACGCAAGCCGTCCCGGCGGCCCGGACCCGCCCATGGGTTGTTCGGTTGTCTCGTCCACGCGCACTCTGCCTTTTGCAGTCACGGCCTCGGTCGATTTTAGCTCGCGGCCGCCACGCCGCCTGCCGGAATACGACGACGAGGCGTTGGGGACGCGAGATTGCCCTGGGGCGTGCGCTTGGCTCTTGTCTCGTTGACCGAGCAATATATATGTCACGGTCCCCGCCTGGTCCGTGGCGCCGAGGAGTCAGCCAGCCAGCCGGCCGGCCGGACCACGCTCTCGGGCTTCAGGGTCCTTGCGCGCGTCACTCCTTGCCGTGAAAGAGGCAGCTGACGACGGACTGCTACGGAGGCTCGGTGTGTAAGTATATGTGTGTACGGAGTATGCATATGTCAACATGTCTCTGCCCGCCGCCGCCGCCCGCCCGCCACCGCCTCCGTACCCGTCCTGCCAACCCGGATCGTGTGCGACTCGCTGCCGCTCATTCAGCAACGTCCAAATAGTTTCCGGTGACGGGCGACCCGCCCATGGCCTGCCTTGCCCGCCCGCCTCACGAAGCCGGTTGTCGCATCAACAGGGTCTCGCCACTGTGGGCTCGATACCCTCTGTGCTCCGTAACTTTCCCAAGACCCCAGAGAAATAGGGGTCGCTGCGGAGCTGCTTGGTGCAAAGGACTCGGCGTACTACGTACTACTAATCCTGCCCGACCCGGACGTTACCTCTGGCCCCGTCTCGTCGTCCACCTGCCCTCGAAACGGCGGTCGGAACGCTCCTCGCGGGCCACCTTCCCGTTTGCCAAGGGTCCGGCGTTGCCTCTCCAGCGGCCGGGTCGGTGTAGCCAACGTTGAAGCCCCGGGCCTTGGTCCAAGCTGCCACGGATGGGTGACCTGTCGATTGCGATTGCAACCGCGCCCAGAACTCGCGATCGACGACACGACGGCCTTGAAAAGTAAAACCGGCGTTGCCCCGTATTATATCGAACGAGCATGATGCGAATGCGCCTTGATAGAGGGCACACCAAGACGGGAAGGACACGTAATGGAGCACAGTGCGCCTCGGCCAGCTTCCAGCTCCCACGCCAACCGGCCCGAGGGTTTGCCTGAGGACGGAAAGAGAGCTGGATCTGGATCGAGCAAAAAGCGCAAGCCGGCAGGCAAAACAAAACAACAACACAAAAAGCACGGGCGGGACGGCTCATCAGGAGCCAGATCGACTGGGTTTTCTTGATGCACCGAGACGGTCACAAATTTGGGGTGAGGTCGGTGGTTGCACTTTTCGGCGCAGTCGAGGGTAAAAGCGGCGCTGCCCTATGATGCTTTTGGCACCGCCCAGAAGCCCAGGTCGCGTGCGTCTCCAACGCGAGCTTGACGCGCCCCATCTGGCCCATAGGAGCAGCGAGAAGAAGCCTCGTTTATGCATGGTGTGCTGGTGCCCCGGTACTGGGAACCACGAGAACTTTACAGGATCTTGGACAATGGCAACGAGGGTAAAGAAGCCTGATTCATGTCTGAGAGGCCGGCCACAGACACAGGTGGTTCGACGCGAGTGCATTCCGGTCGCCCCAGACACCGGCGGAGCCCTGGAGACCTTCTGTGGAGTCGACTCGGGCTCCTGCGCCAGCGCCGACCGCCACTGATGAGCACCCGCCGTTGTGGGTGAGCGCGCTGGGGCTTCCATGGCTTGGGTAACGATTCAGCCACTGCACACTCAACGCGCTCATGCACTGTCCTGCGCTGCTGGCCGCCCGCCTCAAGCTCGTGCGGGGCTGGGGTGTGGCTTGCGCAGGTACCGCCCGCTCGTGCCTTGCCCGTCTCGTGGCGCGGACATACCCTCGAGGCCTGAGGCGTCCACGTCCCTTCGCCCCGTCAAATGACGTGAAGGTGCCTGGACAGCGGGGAGCTACAGTGGGCTTCGCCGCTGTGCTGCCTTGGCTGCTCAAGCTCAAGCTCAGCTCGGTTCAGCTTAAATAAAGAAGCATCACCAAGCCGCCTGCCGCTCGCACAAAAAAGCAAACATCCTTGGCTCAGGCCGCCTCAAGTTTCATTCTTCTCTCTTTTCTCGACTGCTTCTTTTTTGGGACCCTGTCGTCGTGTTACCGTGTCACCGTGTAACCGTGTTCGGACGCTCCTTGACGTCACGCTTGCCTCGCCCAGCAGCGCCATCGCCAGTCTCTCCGTGCATACCCTGCGCTCGGGCCCGGAACGAGCCGCTACACCTGTTGGACGGAGCGGTCGTTCATTTTGTCCCTCGTCATTGTTGCGAGCGTTACGGCTTTGTTGACAGAACCGATATACTCAAGACGGTAACATGGCGCCCAACACCAGGGTCGTCAAGTTCCCCCGCAGTGACGATGAGTCTACATCCGTCCTCGTCCAAGTCACATCCTCCGGCCGCAAGGCGTTGGACCTCAAACTCGTTGCCACCGAAGGAGAGGCGCCATATGTGTGCACTTGTTAGCCCCCCATATCTCTGAACAAGATCGTAAGGCACGGCAAGGACTGACTGGCCGGCATAGTGAAACATGACCGGGTATCATCACTTCGGTTCAAGAACTGCCCCGTGTCAGAAAAGGAATGGGAGCAGATCCTCGAGTCAATTTTCGAGCAGGAGCTCGTTGCGGACATTCAGGCGACTGCCACAGTCTCAACTGATTCGTCCATCTCAGTGACGGTGCGCAAGCAGGTGCAAGGAATAACGGTAGGGTCCCCTGCCATCATCGGCTGGGAGCAAAGCGTCTAACTGAAGCAGCAACGATTGGGCGCCATCACACTCAACTGCGATCAGAAAGAGGGCATCGAGCTCTTCCAGTGGTGCGAAGTATCTCTCGACGCGCTAGCCCAGGCCAAGCGCGAAGCAGCTTCCAGCATAGCCAAAGCCCGCGAACTGGAGGCTGCAGTCACGGAGTTGCAGTCCCAACTCGACGAGCTAGTAGAGTCCAAGCAGGAGGACGAGACGTCCTTGCTTCAGAAGTTCCGGGACTTGCTCAACGAGAAAAAGGTCAAGATCCGGGAGCAGCAAAAGGTCATTGCCTCTTCGTCCTTCAACGGAGGGCAGCCATCCTCGCAGTCACCACAAGAAGACGAACAGCCTGCCCGACGTGCGGCCCAATCGCGCCCTGCGAAGCGGAAAACGCGGGCATCCAACAACGCAGAAGATGCGGATGGAGACGAGGATGTAGACATGGTCAAGGAGGAGGCGGAGGACACAGACCCCGGCGAAACGAGTGAGGGCACAGCATCTACAGCCAGTGTCAACGATGAGGACAAGGCTGAGCCAGAAGCTGCCCGGAACGCTGCTGGCAGGCAAGACAGCAAGCGACAGCGGACATCTCCCGATAAGAAGGCGCAAGAAGCTCCGCCAGCAACACGCCGCTTGCCATTCGCCAATAGGAAGGCAAAGGCACCGGCGCCCGCGGCTGCGGGTGACACCGACTCAGACGACGAGCTGTGATCAATGGCATATGTTCGAAAAATAACCGCGCACTTGAATAGTGGAAGCACATAACGTCTCAGTACTCAGCGCTACTTGTGGAAGTGTGATATTCAGGTTTCTGCCTGCTTGGCCGCAATGGGCATCTGGCTAGCCATCTACCGCCTGTCATCCGGACCGAAACGGTCTTTCCAAAAGGAACGATAGTGCTTTTGCTGGCCCAGCTCAGCAATGTCGGAAACTTCCTTGGGTGTCAGCTTGATCAGCGGAAGCTTCTTCAGGTAGCGCTCCAAACGCTCCTTCTTGGAGCTGGTGGTGAGCACCACCATGCCCTGGTCGATACACCACCTCAGCCCAATCTCCGACTCTGAGACACCGTACTTGTCCGCGAGCTGCTTCCACAGTGCGTTGACCGGCCCGTCGGTGGCCGACGTGAGCGGCGTGAGCGGCCCGTACGCGGCGACGGCGATGTTGTTCTTCCTCAGGAAAGGAACGAGGTCTCCGTGCTGGAGGTACGGGTGGAACTCGATCTGGTTGATGGCGGGCGGGACCTTGGCCGTCTTCAGGAGAGACTCGACGTGCTCTTGCAGGAAGTTGGAGACGCCAATGGACCTGGCCCTGCCGGACGCCTTGAGAGCCTCAACCTCGGCCCAGCGCTGCTGGAGCTCCTGCTCCGTGTCTGCGAACCAGGGGCCGTGGAGCAGATAGAGGTCTACGTAGTCAAGGCCGAGCTTCTTGAGGGAGAGGTTGAACGCCTCCTCGACATTCTTCTTGTCCTTGGCATTGATCTTGGTGGTGACGAAGAGCTGCTCGCGGGGCACCTTGGACGCCTTGATGGCAGCACCAAGCTCCTCCTCGTTTGCGTATGCTAGGATTTACTGTTAACGCCGGCCCAACAACATGGGATGGCGCTGCGGGAGCGCACCTTCGGCGCCGTCCAGGTGGCGGTAGCCGAGCTCAATGGCCTCCTTGGTGACGTCGACGATGGACTGGTCTAGCGGGGCAGAGGCAGCGTCGCCCCATTTGCCCCTCTTCGTCCCGAGACCGTACCCAACCTGCCGCGAAGACAGTGGTTAGACGGGGCTGTCATTGCAAAAGGACCAAAATAATGCGGCGATGGCGTCATCGCTGTGTTACTCACCAGGGGAATCTCGTTGCCGTCGTTGAGCTTCAGCGTCGGCAGGAAAGGGCCCTGCTTGGGCGCCGTGCCCGAGGCATCGGGTTGGAACGAGGAGCCGATAGAGTTCATGTTGTCGCCGAACCTCGAGGACTCCTGGCAAGTTGTGTGCTTTGGGGGGAGCAAGAAGGTCGGTTGTCCGGCTCCGTGGGGGTTGGCTACTAATGTAGTAGTCGTGTAGTCTGTAACACACCCGGTTTTGCGGAGCTCATTGCCGGTGCCCCGTCAACGATTCCATCAGTCATGGAGCGAATGTCGTTGCTTGGACGGGACCTGCCATTTTACCCCGCCAGGCTCGCGACTAACACGGAGACTGGGCCCCGGTTGGCGGAGGGCGCACTTCTTCCTCGCTAGGTACGGCGAAATCGGCGGGCTCGCTTGCACTGTGGGAGGTACGAGCTGGCTTGTTGTTTCGTTACTACGAGGGGTCCTTGAAGGTGGCTGATGTTTTATCCAGTGTATACGGTCGTAAGCTATGCTTTGGAGTTTACACATTCGGCACACCAGCGTGAACGAAGTCGAGGCATGCACATCACAAGTTCCTCGCACTGAGGACTTGGACATGACCAACCGCCTGCATCGGGGCAGGGGGCAGTTCATTACCGGCAAAGAAACAGGATACAAGTCACAGCTTTTGCAAGATCCAGAGCAAACAAGGAATTGCTCGCAGAGACGATGCTGGAAGACTGGCGATGCCATCAGTTCGGAAGAGTAAGCCAGCTACCCGGTATCTCGGGGTGTGGGGGAAGCGGGAGCTCGGAATGCGGAAAACACACACACACCCGGGATGTCCATCATCTTCAGCCTCCAAATAAAGCGAAGAATAATTTGGCGACAGTCTCTGCTCTTTGGCAAGTTCGGCCTCGATGCCTTGCCCCTCGTCTACGATACGAAAAAGAGCTTAATCACCAAGCTCGGGTGCAACTTGGTGACGCCTCTCAAGCCGAGGGGCATTTGTAGCGCGGGTTGCGCCTATACCCGCCGCAATGCCGCAATGCCGCAGTGTGGGGGCCCCGGAGTGGGTGTCACTTCCCGAGCCACAGCCGTTGGTGATGTCAATCCGCGCCCCGAAGACCCATCGAATCTACATCGTCACTTTGTCATCATTGCCACCAGCCTATCGCAACCGCATATTGTCAGATAATGTCCTCGGTGCGACGATGAGACCGATGAGACTCTTCGCATCTGCTCAATAAACTGCGCTCGACTTTAGTCCCGCTCCAACGCCGATAACATCTGCCGTTGATGCTCTCCCGAGCCGCTGTACCCGGACTGACCCGACGGCTCTGTCTCCGAACCACAGCTGCCATGGCCACGGCGCGGCAGTCGAGCAGCAACTCCGCGGCGCAGGATGCCGGGTCGTCGCTCGAGGACTTGCCCAAGTCCTGGACTTTTACGCAGTCGCTCCCGCCTGACGCGTTGTTTCCGACGCCGGCCGACTCCCACAAGACGCCCCGCGAGCAGATCGGCCCGCGACAGGTCCGCAACGCCCTCTTTACGTGGGTGCGCCCCGAGGAGCAGAAGGACCCTGAGCTGCTAGCCGTAAGTCCCGCGGCCCTGCGCGACCTGGGCATCAAGGAGAGCGAAGCCAAGACCGAGGACTTCCGCCAGTTCGTTGCCGGTAACAAGCTGTACGGATGGGACGAGGAGAAGCTGGAAGGCGGCTACCCGTGGGCGCAGTGCTACGGAGGCTTTCAGTTTGGACAGTTTGCTGGCCAGCTCGGTGACGGGCGGGCCATTTCGCTGTTTGAGACGACGAACCCGGCGTCCGGCACGCGCTACGAGCTGCAGCTCAAGGGTGCCGGCCTGACGCCTTACTCGCGCTTCGCCGACGGCAAAGCCGTTTTGCGATCGAGCATCCGCGAATTTGTCGTCTCCGAAGCCCTGAATGCGCTGAAGATCCCCACGACCCGGGCCTTGTCGCTCACGCTGCTGCCGCACTCCAAGGTGAGGCGCGAGACCATCGAGCCGGGAGCCATCGTCCTGCGTTTCGCGCAGTCGTGGCTGCGACTGGGAAACTTTGACATTCTGCGTGCGCGGGGAGACAGGAACCTAATCAGGAAGCTCGCCACGTACATCGCCGAAGATGTCTTTGGGGGGTGGGAAACTCTCCCCGGTCGGCTTGCCAACCCCGACAAGCCAGACCAGTCGCCGGCGCCAAATCGTGGTCTTGGGGCAAAGGACATTGAGGGACCGGATGAGACGGCCGAGAACAGATTCACGAGGTTGTACCGCGAGATTGTGAGGAGGAACGCTCGCACGGTTGCTGCATGGCAGGCATATGGCTTTATGAATGGCGTCTTGGTATGACACCTCACCACACCCTCCTCGCGCCGGTGACGCAGCTGACCTTATTGGCAGAATACGGACAACACGTCCATTTACGGCTTGTCGATAGACTTTGGACCGTTTGCGTTCATGGATACCTTTGATCGCTCCTACACGCCCAACCACGACGACCACATGTTGAGATACAGTTACAGCAACCAGGTCACCATCATCTGGTGGAATCTTGTCCGCTTCGGAGAGGCGATTGGCGAACTCATGGGCGCCGGAGCCAAGGTAGACGACGAGACATTCGTCTCTGAAGGTGTCAAGGAGGGCCAAGAGGAGGACATTGTTTCCCGGGCGGAGAAGCTCATTATGCAGACCGGCGAGGAGTACAAGGCTACCGCCCTTGCGGAGTACCAGCGGCTCATGACTGCTCGCCTGGGCCTTCGGGAGGCCCAGAAGTCGGACTATGACGAGCTCATCAGCACCATTTTCACAATTATGGAGACGCTCGAGTTGGACTTCAGCCACTTCTTCCGCCGCTTGAGCGGCCTCAAGCTGGAGGACCTCTCTACCCCGGAGGCCCGGAAGGAGAAGGCCTCCGTCTTCTTCCATCAAGAGGGCCCGCCGAAGACGGTCACCGAGAATGAGGCCCGAGATCAGCTCGCCACTTGGCTGGACAAGTGGCGGTCAAGAATCATCGCCGACTGGCAGGACGGGGAGGGAAGCGTGTCCTCGGCTAGAGACCAGGAGCGCATCCAAGCCATGAAGCAGGTCAACCCCAACTTTGTCCCTCGCGGCTGGATCCTGGACGAGGTCATCCGACGCGTCGAGAAGGACGGCGAAAGGGATGTCCTGGATCGCGTCATGCACATGGCGCTCAACCCATTCGAAGAGGCGTGGGACGGGAAGTCCTTCGATGGTGCTACGTGGAAGGGCGACGCCGAGGAGGAGCAACGATGGGTCGGCGAGGTGCCCAGGACGGAACGGGCCCTCCAGTGTAGCTGCAGCTCATAGCGCAAGACGTGCCTGGCAACTTTAAATATAGACCCGATCGACGAGAGAACCTGCACGCGGCCCTCACATCCCGTGATCCTTCCACCAAGGCCCGCGTCTCGCGAGCATCACAAACATGTCCTTCAATGCGGTATGTAACGACCGGCGGTAAGAGGCAGCGGTCACGGAGCGATTACTCTCCCATGCTTCCATAAACGGCGTAATAGATCTCAATCTGGGGCACAAGATAGAGGAAGACTCGACTGAAGCACCATGTCTGCGAGGCAGACACGCGGCTCAAGCTCACCTACAATAAAGTGTGCCCGTGGTACAATTATGGTGAGAAGGAGAAAAAAGAGCAGCTAAGCTGCCCGCAAAATTTCTGGCGAGGTTATGGTCGGGGCTCCACGCAGGCTGTGGCGGCCTCAGGCACACACGTCGGAGCCGGCCAGCCAATCAGGGCCGGGGTATAGTACCTAGTAATCCGTGTTTGGCGCACTTCCCATCCACCCGAAGGAGACCAGTTCTTGTCGAGGCGTCAACCACTGAGCCTTTATCTCGCCGCAGCGCGCTGCATCGTCCATCTCCTTCTCTCCGTCAAGGCGACACGATGCTTCGACAGTCTCTGGCACGTTCGGCTTGGCGGACCGGCCGGCGGGTCGCAAACGTCTCCCGGACCTTTGCGACCACGCCCCAGCGCCAGGCGGAGGTCGAATTGACAGTTGGTAAGCGAGACCGCGAGACGAGGGAGCCATTGAGCTGCGGACGTGGGCTGACACCTTGCTAGATGGAAAGAAGGTCTCGATTGAAGGTATGTCGCGGCGGTTGGAGAGCTGCTGTCGACGTTGTTGCTGACCCCGAGCCAGCTGGCTCTGCCCTGATCCAGGCCTGCGAAAAGGCTGGAGTGACCATCCCAAGGTATGTGCTGGCTCCCCGCAGTCGCCCTCTCAGACCTGAAGTTCGTCGTCGGTGCCAATTGCAGTTGCTAACGCCGCCCGCAGATATTGCTACCATGAGTACGATCCCGCTCGCCTCCCCGTTGTCCCGCCGAACCGAAATTTAACAAAGCCCGCAGGAAGCTCATGATCGCCGGCAACTGCCGTATGTGCCTGGTAGAGGTGGAAAAGGCCCCGAAGCCCGTGGCCTCTTGCGCCTGGCCTGTGCAGCCCGGCATGGTTGTCAAGACGAACTCGCCGCTCACCCACAAGGCTCGCGAGGGTGTCATGGAATTCCTCCTCGCCAACCACCCGCTCGACTGCCCCATCTGCGACCAGGGTGGCGAGTGCGACCTCCAGGACCAGTCCATGCGATACGGTGCCGACCGCGGCCGATTCCACGAGATTGGCGGCAAGCGTGCCGTCGAGGACAAGAACATCGGGCCCCTGATCAAGACCTCGATGAACCGATGCATTCACTGCACTCGATGCGTCCGATTCGCCAACGACATCGCTGGAGCGCCCGAGCTCGGCTCCACTGGCCGTGGCAACGACCTGCAGATTGGTACTTACCTTGAGAAGAACCTCGACTCAGAGATGTCTGGCAACGTGATTGACCTTTGCCCCGTTGGTGCGCTGACGTCGAAGCCCTACGCTTTCCGCGCCCGCCCCTGGGAGCTGAAGCACACCGAGTCCATTGACGTCCTCGACGGCCTCGGCTCCAACATCCGTGTCGACTCTCGCGGCCTCGAGGTCATGCGCGTTCTTCCCCGTCTGAACGATGATGTCAACGAGGAGTGGATCAACGACAAGACCCGCTTCGCCTGCGACGGCCTCAAGACCCAGCGCCTGACCATGCCCCTGGTTCGACGAGAGGGCAAGTTCGAGCCGGCCGACTGGGAGGAGGCCCTCACCGAGGTTGCCCGCGCCTGGGAGCAGAAGAAGCCCCAGGGCAACGAGTTCAAGATCATCTCTGGTGCCCTGACCGAGGTCGAGTCCCTGGTTGTCGCCAAGGACATGGCCAACAAGCTGGGCTCCGACAACCTCGCCCTGGATACTCCTACCGGCAGCCAGCCCATCGCCCACGGTATCGATGTGCGGTCCAACTACGCCTTCAACTCCCGAATCTGGGGCATCGAGGAGGCTGACTGCATTCTCCTCGTTGGCACCAACCCCCGCCACGAGGCCGCCGTTCTGAACGCCCGCATCCGGAAACAATGGCTCCGCTCCGATCTCGAGATTGGCGTTGTCGGCGAGACCTGGGAGTCTACCTTTGAGTTTGAGCACCTCGGCGCCGACCACGCCGCGCTCAAGAAGGCCCTCGCTGGTCCTTTCGGCAAGAAGCTACAGGCTGCCAAGCGGCCCATGATCGTCGTCGGCTCCGGTGTCACCGACCACGCCGACGCCAAGGCCTTCTACGAGACCGTTGGTGCCTTTGTTGAGAAGAACTCTGCCAACTTCATGACCGAGGAGTGGGACGGCTACAACGTGCTTCAGAGGGAAGCGTCCCGAGCGGGCGCCTTCGAGGTTGGCTTCACGACGCCTTCCGCTGCTGTTGCGGAGACGAAGCCCAAGTTCGTGTGGCTGCTCGGCGCCGACGAGTTCAACGAGGCCGATATTCCCAAGGATGCCTTTGTCGTGTACCAGGGCCACCACGGTGACCGTGGCGCGCAGATTGCCGACATCATCCTGCCTGGCGCCGCCTACACTGAGAAGGCTGGCACGTACGTCAACACCGAGGGCCGAGTCCAGATGACCCGCGCGGCCACCTCTCTGCCCGGCGCGGCGCGAACCGACTGGAAGATCCTGCGGGCCGCCAGTGAGTTCCTGGGTGCTCCTCTGCCGTACGACGATGTTGCTGCTGTGCGGGACCGCATGGTGGATATTAGCCCGGCGCTGGCTGCCTACGACGTCGTTGAGCCCGTTGCCCTGCGGCAACTGGGCAAGGTCCAGCTCGTGGACCAGAACAAGGGATCCAAGGCCAGCGGATCGCCGCTGAAGAAGGTTGTCGACAACTTTTATTTCACAGACGTCATCTCTCGGAGGTATGTTTTGTCTATTGAGTCGCTTCATGTGTTCTAGAACTAACTCATAATGTCCAGCTCACCAACCATGGCCCGGTGCTCCGCAGCCAAGGCTACGGGCGACCCGAGGACAAACTTCATGGCACCGGGTATGGAGGAGGACAAGCCCATGGGCCAGATCGCGTACGGGGTATAAGACGTGCGGCTGTACCAAAATAGAAAGATTTCCCTTGCGTCGTCATGTTGGTGGAGGTGGTGTCTGAATCGGCTTTGTACATATAGGACGTCGGACTAGAGGAGGTGATGAGGGTAAAATAATTTACCAAGCTGATGTCTCAGTCGCGTGGTGCTAGCTGGTCTGATGGTTGGCTATGTGCCGGGAATTGATGAATGATGGCCGGTAGAACCCTAGGCCGCTTCCTGGACGCATGCTTTATTCAGGCTTGCTGGCAACGCTAGGTCCCGCTCGCTGGACTATGTCGCCGGGACGGCGCTTGAGGCATGACCGGAGCGGCTTTGCCGGGCTCGACTTTGGCCGAAAAGGCCCCCTCATTGTTGTGGTCGTCGTCGCGGCTGGCCTCGAAGAAATAGAAGAACGAGGGCCGAACGGGTCCCGCTTCTAGCGGACCTCGTTGGCCTCCATCTCCCGCTTGAGCGCGGCCTCGTACTCGCGCCTGGTCTGGGCGAAGTGCATGTCCATCTTGGTGAGCTCATCGAGCAGCCGCGAGACGGACGCCATGATCTGGTAGGTGGCCATTTCCCGCTGCGAACGCACGGGCACCTTGGTGAAGTCGGGGCGCGGAGGGGGGTCCGCGGCGATGCTGGCGTCGCCGATGGTGGCGGTTAGGACGGACTTTGGGGCGGACATGTTGGCGATCATGGCGTTGTAGTCGTCGGGCGAGAGCGCGCTGCTGCTGCTGGGAGCAGGAGCGGGAGCGGGAGCAGCGTGCTGCGGGTGCCTCTGGTGCTGCGGATGGCCATGGCCATGGCCGTGACCAGGACCAGGGCCAGCTGCTTGCGCAACTGCTGTTGGAGAAAGGACATCATCGTCCTCCCCCTTGGACTGGGGCAGTTGCCCAGGGAGCTCCGGCTCAGCGGCGAGGGCGTTGCTCAGCACGCGGAAGCACTCGCGGCGGACGAGCGCCACGGCGTTGGAGCGCACCTGCGCGGCGTACTCGTCGAGGCGGGCCAGGATGGCGCGCAGGCGCGCGATGCGGTCTGCCGGCGCGGGGTGCGGGTTGGCTGCGAGGTCGGGCGGGAGGGGCACGAAGATGGCGCCGGGGGTGAGGTAGGTCAGCGGGGGGATGTCGCTTGGCTTGTACTGTTGCTGGTGCTGGTGTTGTTGCTGTTGCTGTTGCTGTTGCTGGTGGTGCTGCTGCTGATGTTGCTGATGTTGCGGCTGCGGTGGTGCCGCGGACATGGCTTGTGAAGGCACGGTAGCTTCATACTGGCCTCGCTCGCGCATCATCGCGGCGCGTGCGAGAGGAGGTGGCAGTCCGTGCTTCTCTCGCTCGCGCAGCATGGCTGCCGGCGCGGTGGGAGGTTGCCGCAGCAGCTGCTGCAATTGAGGCTGCGGTTGAAGTTGCGGTTGAGTTTGAGTTTGAGGCTGAGGTCGAGGTTGAGGTTGGTGCCGTGGACCCTGAGGAGCTGTTGGCGGCGATGCTCCGGCCCGCTGGCGAAGGAGATCCATAATACGCTACTCCCTTGGTAAACGAAGGTAGGAACGATGCGGGGACTTTTCTCGGATATGGGCGATGTTAGTATCGGTCGCCGCCCCGACGACGCACTCGGTCTCTCTTGCCCTTTTTGTTTTTGTGTGTGAGTGAGTGAGTGGTGTGGGGGAAACGGCGCAGCAATGTTGAAAGGTAGATGCACGAGGTTGGAGGTGGTGTTGGGCTGCGCTTTTAAGGTGCTGGAATAACGAATGTATGTACTCCGTATGGGAAGGATGGAAGGCAAGCAGGCAGTCGCAGGTGACCCCCTTGACTGCAGACAATGGCCCTCTGACCGATGAATTGATCAGGCAGCTTTGCTGCGAAACTGCAGGCGGGCTGCATGGGTTGCTGCACGAAGTGCGGACTTACACGCATACCATCGACAGCCGAAGCGGCATGGGTTTCGTCCGCTTTGCCTTGAGGGATTCTGCTTACAAGGCCTACAACACGTCTCTGTCTGTAAGTCTGCTCAGTTGCTAGTACATGTCGTGGCCGTACCACGCGAGTCTCATGCAAGCAGAAAACCAGCAGCATTATCGTATTGCAGCGGAAACGCCTTGCATCTGAGAGTATTCGGCTTTGTGAATGGCAAACCCCTGTTGCATCATGGCTTGCGCCGAACGTGCAGCTGGGTGATTCTGGGTCGAGATGCCTCGACATCTATCATACATCGTACCTCTCTATGGAGATATGCAGACCTCTTTGGGCCATGGTCCTCTGCCATACTAGGTCCGTCTCCGAATGCCTCACCTCATATTACCAAACAAATGGAATGCCCCTGTGCGTCTACGCTCCCGTCTGCCCCCCACCGGGTGCTTCCCTACCGCCTCTCAGCGGAACGTTCCTTCGAGTTGACCAATGCTCGACGCCGTGATTTCGGGGTCATGCATGCCGTGCCGCGGCGACTCACAGCGCGGATTATACCGGAGGAGGGATGTGGGACTTGTCTAAGCCAGGCCGTTCGCAGCGTCGCTTGCCGAGATCAGACTGTTGCGCTGTGCCGCTGCGGCGCAAAGGGCTCGCATACCAGATGGCGTGACGCGGCGCGAATCCTGTGGCTCGGGCGCCATGATTGAGCGTGGGAGGCAGCTCCCGACAGTAGTGTCGGTCTGCATCTGCTGCTGCTCATCACCTCGACGGGAGAACCTTTCTGACATACTCACGGATGATCTTGAGCGCTGCCCGGACGAGATCCTCCAGGCGCCTGTCCTTTCGCTTGCGAAGCCACAGCAGGACGATGGCGAGGATGACGCTGTCAATGACCAGGTGTCGCAGCACCAGCCAGGCAAGCCAGCTCACCCACGCGGGGTAGCTGCGCGCCTTCTTCGACTTCCACTCCCGTCCTGTCGTGATTTGCTCGCGCAGCGCAGCAATCTCGGCGGAGAGCTTCGTGACGGCGCGCTCCATCTTCCTCTGCCACCGGTTACTGCGGCCGCTCTCCACTGCAGCTTCTGCTTCGTCCTCGAGGTCCATCTGTCGTTGTGACCTCAGCTCGGCCTCGTCCTGCTCGCTCATCGGGCTGAGGATCCTCATGGGCCCGTCGCTCCCGCTCATGGGCTGTTGGAACTGCCGCGGGGCTCCGGTCGAACCCCCGGCCTTGGGGGACGAGCCCGTCGAGCTCGAAGAGTTGTGTTTGATCTGGTTCCAGACGAATTCGAGCTCCGTGACCAGTTCGGTTGCATCCCTGACGGCCGAGAACATCAGCCATGTGCCACTGTGAGGTCGGGGCATCCAAGGGTGGGACTTACGAGGTTGTCGCATAGCGGTGCATCGTTTCGATAAGCGCCTCGACGTATCTGCGCTTCGCCTCGGTGCGCGTGATGCCCCTCTGCGAGTTCCACGCATCCCACTTGTCGCGTTCCCGCTGCAGCTCCTCCGCGGTCAGCCCAGGGCCGGCCGTGGGCTGCTCCATGACGCCGTCGACGTCCCCTTCCATTGCCTGCTTATAGAGGCCATAGAGCCGTAATCGGTCGGACGGAGGCGGCCGCGAGGCTCCCGTCTTGGGTATCTTCTTGACTGTGTTGAGGGCGTGGACGAATACGCGATCTATGCGGAAGGGAATACGGTGTCAGCGTAAGGGAGATGGTCCTTTGCACGGCATCAGAGGCGGGATTCGTGCAACGCACCCACGGAGTCGGCCATGGTGCCGGCTATGTCTCGCCACCAGCGAGTCCGTTATGAGGAAGGATCGTAATTCGTGGGCTGGGTTGACGAAGCCTATGCGGCGTGCGGGAGGGCGACAACAAGAGGAGTTGACCAGTCGCGACTCCAGCCCTTCAACGGCAGTGCAACGCGATGACCTCCCTCGAGATATGGGGGGACCGGAGCACGAGGGCGGCGCGGGCTGGTGGGCGGGCGGGCGGAATACGGGGTCCAATGCAGGCGCTGGATGCGGGTGCGAGAGTCGGGGCGCCGTGGATTGGACGCGGAGGGAGAGAGGGGGAGGAGTCAATCAAGACGGGGAGCTCGGGGGCGGGAGTGGCCGTCGAGATGTGGTGTCGCGGGTGTAATGGTGACGCTGGCTGACGGACGGACGGGTGAGACGGAGGCACGCTCGGCGGGCTGGGCGAGTTGGGCTGGGCTGGGGACGAAGACGGAATTAACGATGATGCTAACAATGGACATTCCGACGCGGCATGCCGAGGCCCTGTGGTGCGTTAGGTTGCGACTCAGCAGGTGTGACAGGCGGGCTATTGGGCGGCGCCACCAACGGGTGCAGGCGTCGGCCGAGGCACTTCCAATTCTAGGCTCCGGGGCCCATCACCCGTGCTACTGCAGTGCTCCAGTGAGCTGCTGAGCTGGGCTGGCCCGACTGCATTGCGTCCGTCCTCCGCCCTCCGCCCTTCCCGGACTCCCGGGCTTCCAGACGGTCGGTAATGTACTGTACCTTAGACGATTCAACCAGTCGGCTGCTGAACTTGCCGTCGGAGCCGCTGACGAGCCGCCAAACGCCTGGAATCAGAGGCGCATTGATCTCACATCCTTGATATAAGCGAAGCGCCAGCCTCCGCCACCATCACAGCAGTCGTTGCCCTCTCATGCCGGACTGCCCATTGCAACATGCAATGTAGCTTGTGTGAAAGTAACCCAAGCATAGTGTCGTCTGTCTATCGCCATTTCTCCCTTGGACCCAATATTGTCCAAGGGTGCTGTACTTGGGCATTTCGCAAGGGTCACCCTGCCGCAGAGGGCCGTGGAGGCACCGTCTCGGCAGGCATGTGACAGCGCCCGGCCGTCTAACACCACAGGATAACCTATGCTTGAAGACAACAACCCTTGCAATAACAAATGCGCCGGCGTCTACTTTTCTTTTCGAGGCCATTCACGATACTGAGACATACTTTATCCTCCATCGCTGCCGTAGACCTCGCAGGTGATAAAAGGCTGTCGTCGCACCCGACTCCACGGCGCCCGCTCCCTCGGAGCAACTAGACCTCACGATCCTCCGAAGTCCGACTTCCCCACCCTTCCGCGAGACAAGCGCTGCTGCACCTACGGAGCACATCGTGATTCCCACAGTCCTTCGTGCTTGGAGCCTTGTTTTGTTGACAGGATAGATTTTCCACCGACACTTCCCTAGAAAATCCCGACATCTACCCGCATCCAACGCCTTGCTGTGCGACAAACGGCACTTCCTCTGAAGAGTCTCGGGGTATTCAAACAATTGCAACATCTGCCATCCTGTAACCCTCCCTGACCCTATGGCCTGGGGGTTTCGCTTTCCTGCGCAGCCGCAAGGGCCTCTTGGAACGCCTTCTTCTTTGTCTCGTACACCCTCATGAGCTTCTTGTTCTCCAGCGCCTGGGCTGCTGCCTTGTGTCCCGCCTCCTTCTTCTGCAGCGCCGTGCCGGTGCCCAGGAGCTTCTTGTTTTCGCCCCAGCCGTCAAGGTACACACCGACTGTGTAGAGCGGCAAGCCGTTGTTCTTGTCCTTTTTGTTTCCCGGTATGTCGAGATAGCTGATCAGGACGCCCTTTGCACCAATGGCCGCCCGCAGCCTGTCCTTGGGGTTGAGCTTCGCGTTGGCGTCGGATGGGGCCGGAGTTGCCTTGGACGCCGGGGCTGATGCCACTGCGCTGGCACCGGCCGATGCACCATGCTTCGTTTCGTATTCGACAATCTTCTCCTTGAGCGTTTGACCCCAGAGTGTTCGTATCCAGGCTAGAGCAACGGCCTTGCCGTGTTGAGGGTCCGACGCGACCACGGCGCCAAAGTACGCCTCAAACATGTCGGCCTGCGTTTTGCACAGGTCTTTGTCGCTCGATCTGCCCCGTCCCAAACCACGATCACCATGAAACTCCGTAGGGAGGATCGCTTTCGATGACATGTTGTATTCCCGGAAGTACCCAGCGAGTGTGGTGTTGCGCACCAGCAGCTCACGCAGCTGGGAGCAGCGGCCGGCAGGAGTCTTCGGAAATGTCTTGAAGATCAGGCCGGTGGCCGCGAGCTCAATGTACGCGTCGCCGAGCCACTCTAGCCGTTCGTAGCTTTCCTCACCGTTTCGGGGAACGCCAGGGTGAGTGAATGCCCTCTTCTCCAATTCCGGGTCCTTGACCTGCGGCAGCGGAGGCAGCTGTGAAGAGATCTCTGAAGACTTCCAAGGGACGAAGTCTGTCAGGCTGGGCATTGACTCGGACGAGTTCGGCTGCATGGGCCGTGGCTGGCCATCCTTGGGGGGCTCCGACTCGTCCTGCCTGGGTCGCTTGCTACTCGCCTGGTCACTCTGGCTGAGGACCTCTCCGGCCTCCAGGCTCGAGGCTGGGCGTTTGGCCATTGCTTGCCCAACTTTGCCAGTGAGATCCAAAGCCTAGAACAATCAGTGAGTGGGTGAACGGCGGTGAAATATTTGCACTAAAATGCTCTCACGGGCAAGCTGTGTCGAAGAGAGCGTGTCGGGCCCTCGGTGGTCTAAAAATGTACGGGTTTAGGGCACAAAGTGTAAGGTCTGCTGTTCAAGGTGTGACTGTGAAGAAGTGTAAACCAAGTTCAAGTCGGCACGGCTTGGGGCGTCCCCGTGGTGGGTATGGTGGAACTGGTCTGCTGCCCCACATGCATCACACTAACCAATCGTGGTCCCGGAGAGCTGTGCCGGCCAGGATCTGAACGACTTCACCTCAATCTCGAAAATTCGACGTCGACGGCAACAACAGCACAGTCGGCCATGCAAAGATGAGCGTCCCTCGCGCACGGATAGTGGAGTTGATGAAGGTAAGGCCGCGAAACGTTCCTGCAGTCGCAGGCAGCTAACCGCGCCCAGGCGCAATGCCAGGTCTTCGCGACAACGTTCAACCCTGAGGGAGCGCGCATGGGCAACAAGGTCCTGCGACAGCGATTAAAGGGCCCTGCCGTCGCCGCATACTACCCGAGGAAGACGGCAACCATCAAGGATGTCAAGCGCGAGTTCGGGCCTATCCTCGCGACCTGGGATGATGCCGAGGAGGACCGCTTCGAGTACATTGAGGAGTACGCAGACCCTGATCCCGAATCACTGGCAGCGGCACGCTCACACGCATGATACAGGCTGAAGCAGAGAGGGAAGAGTGCGCCCAAGAAGAAGACGGGGCCGCCAGGTGCGTCAGCGATGGCTTAAGATATTGGGGCTCTTTGCTAACCCTCAGCTAGCTGCCACGCCCGGCAAGAAGCGATGATCTCGAGACGCCGATGGTAGACAACCTTTCGGACCGCGCACGACAAGTGACGATACCCGCTATGCACCGAAGCGAGCTGTACGATGGACTGCCGGGATTCAGCGCTGGCAATGTCATAGACGAAGACGCCGCAAAGCACGAAAGGGTGCTGGCGGGGGAATGAGCTTCGGACGCTGTATTTTACTGTATCATACACCGAAAATGCGAGAATATCTACGACAGTGCCGCCGTGGAAGTGCTTGGAACTTCTTTTCTTTTTGATGGGCGCCATATTGTCAAGGACCGGCTATTGGTTCTTCAGGAGCAGATGGTCGTCCACGTTGGCTCTCTGGGTCGCTCTGGCTTAGTCTCGCTGATGATCAAAAGCTCTCACTCGGCAGTGCTCGTAGGAATCGGCGCACGGTATTTATCTGCGGCAGGCCTCCCGGTCCCTACTCGTGGGGACGGCATCTACTGCTGACTATTGCAGAGTACGTGCCAGCATCATCACCACACGGGACGCAGCCGCGAGGCATCTACGACCAGCACGCATCCGACATTGGCCATGCGCCAAGCCTTTCATCTAACGCTTCTCTTGCCCTTGGAGATTTGCAGGCGGTCCTCAGCGCCATCATAGCGGTCATTGCCAAGGAGTGGGTAGCGAACAACCAGGCACGGGGAAACAGTCTACCTACCGTCCGAACAGGGCGACCTGCAAAGACCTGGCCGGACCCTGCAGCTGTGAGTGCCCACCTGGGGCGAGATGCTGCCTTGAGCTTCTGACGGCTGCCATTCCAGGTTGTTGCGGGACCTCAACCCAGAGATCTGTTCAGGGTGTGCAATTAGGTGTGCAGTCCTCGCGCGTTCGCTGAACACCCCCCTGCCAGCTGGCGTGCAGTCCGGCGCTTTGCAGCACGCCCAGGTCCAGCACTGGCGACTGCGTGCACGGGTTGGAGTGGCACACCGCACTGCCAGTCGTCAAGTGCTTCTCCCGTCCTTCCGCACCTCGCCCCCCCAGAAAAACTCCAACCTTCCCTCCCTCCTCACCCGTCTCGCTTAGGCCCCAGTCCACACCAAACATCTTCCCACTGCCGCCTGCTGGTCGACTCTCGTGGTCGGGCATAATTTCGGGTCTGCCCAAGCACTCCTTCTTTCCTTATCGGCCTTGGCGGCTCCTTCTTATTTACGCGTTTGGTTTGACTAGACGCATCTTCTCCGACGGTTTGTGGAACAAATCCTCCCATCCTCCTCTGCCTCAACGCGGTTGGGCTCCCCATCTCCCAGCGCCTTTGATCTCGTTGGCCTCTTCTTGCCTCGCCATTTTGATCATATTTTCCGATCTTCTTCAGTCCTCGCTAGACGCGACTCACCAACGTGCACCTGTACCCAGTCTTGGCTACATCATGTCGGCCTCCGAGCATCGCGGCCCGACTCCTCAACAAGGAGGGCAGCACGCAGCGGGCCTCCACCAAGACGACAGCACCTCTCCCTCCGGTGTTTCGGGCTCTTCGGTGTTCGTGGGAGGCGTAAGTGATTCCTACCATCTCATTTCTTCCCCGTGCACCGGATCGTGGCCGCCGAGCAGCTGCTGAGCCACAGTAGATGCGTGATGGCGGCTCGGACCCTTCCATGCTCAGAAATGTTGCCATCCTGGCCAGCTCCAAGTTGGCAAATCAGCCTGGCCTAGTGGTGCGATTGCTGAACAGCTGATACCATCTTGGATACTCACTGACACGCATCTTCAGGATGGCTCTCCTGGATCGTATCCCATGGACAAGCTACTCGCCAAGCTCACGGAGCAGCAAGCCGTCCTCAACCAGCAGAACGAAGCGTTGAGGTCCGCCGAAGACGACAAAAACAACAGAGTTCATGCGAGACCCGCCGAGCACGCCTCTTCGAGCAACTCGTTGCCCATCACCCCGGCTTCCGAAGGGTTTCCAGCGGCTACCCCCAGCACCCGCCCTGCAAGCGCCGCCATCGAGGACTCTCGTCCAGAGACTGATGAAGTCCTGAGACTGAAGCTCCAGTTGGCTCAAGCGCAGAATCAAATTTCCAAGCTGGACCAGGAGCTGGCCAAGACCAAGTCCTTCAAGGGAGAACAAGAACCCCAGGGCTTCATGGTTCCGCGAGGCATGCCACCGGTCTCCCGAGAACCAACCTGGGTGCCCCCGGACGATTCTCAGTCTGACACCAGTGACGCCATGTCCACCACTGCCCTCAATAGGAATCGCGGCATATGGGGCCCGTCAAAGGGAAATTTCGCCAACAATGCCTTCCAGCCTCCGGCCAGTGAGCCGGCCCCCGGAAACTGGTTCGGTGGTCGAGGCTTCGGTCAGGCATTTGGAGACTCGAACGAACCCTATCCTGTGGTCGACAGCTTTCGTGCTGATCGGGCCGCACAGGACCCGGCACAGATGATGCGGCCCCCCGCCGGTCGAAGAGGCGGTCGCTACGACCATCGACTGAGTGCCCCGAACCAGTTCGCGGGTGGCTTTGGATCTATGACCGGACCGGTTAACCATCTTGATCCCATGGCTGCCCAATTGCCCATGAATGCACCTCCGGGACTTGGCCCCATGGGGCTTGGGATGTATTCGCCGTATCAGCAGCAGCCCATTGGAACGCCCTTGTCCCCTCACGCCTCCGAGTTTACCTCGAAAGCAGGCTGGAAGAATGAGGTAATTGCAGCGAGACTTCCCTTTCTTGTAGCCGTCTACTGACGTCGACCAGGTCGTGCCGGCTGAAGGCCCAACGTACCTCCCAGCGACGGAACCTCTCAATTATCGCCGACTCCTTGATAAAAACGTCAGCGCCAATTGGAAGTACATCGTGGACAAGATCGTTTGCAACAATGACCAGCAGGCGTCCATCTTTCTTCAGCAGAAGCTCAAGGTCGGCAGCCCTGAGCAAAAGTATGAGATTGTTGAGGCAATCGTGGCGCAGGCGTACCCCCTGATGGTCAATCGCTTCGGGAACTTCCTGGTTCAGCGTTGCTTTGAGCATGGGACTCCCGAGCAGGTGATCAAGATCGCGGACGCCATCCGAGGGAACACCCTGAACCTTTCCATGGACCCGTTTGGATGCCACGTGGTCCAGAAGGCGTTTGACTCTGTCCCCGAAGATTACAAGGCAATCATGGTGCATGAGCTCTTGCGCCGCATCCCGGAGACTGTTATTCATCGTTACGCCTGCCATGTGTGGCAGAAGCTCTTTGAGCTTCGTTGGACTGAGACGCCGCCTCAGATCATGAAGTATGTCAACGACGCCCTGAGGGGCATGTGGCACGAGGTTGCCCTCGGAGAGACGGGCAGTTTGGTCGTTCAGAACATCTTTGAGAACTGTCTTGAAGACGACAAGGTAACACAGCCTGAGAGAGACGGCGGAGTAATACTGACAATGGCTTTGAAGCGCCCATGCATCGAAGAAGTACTCGCCAATATCGACATCGTCGCCCATGGCCAGTTCGGAAACTGGTGCATCCAGCACATTTGTGAACACGGCGCCCCCCCTGACCGCAGCCGGGCGATTGACCATGTCATTCGCTACGCCGCTGAGTACAGCACCGACCAGTTCGCCTCAAAGGTCGTCGAGAAGTGCCTCAAGATCGGTGGCACTGACTTTCTTGGCCGATACCTGGACCGAGTTTGCGAGGGCCGCCGCGATCGAACCCGGATCCCCCTGATCGATATCGCGAGCGACCAGTACGGCAACTACCTCATCCAGTGGATTCTCAACAACGCCACGCCTCAGCACCGTGAGATGGTCGCCGCCCACATCCGCAAGCACATGGTGTCCCTGCGAGGCTCCAAGTTTGGCTCGCGAGTCGGCATGTTGTGCACCAATCATGCAGTTACTACTCGACCCGGTCCCGGGGTCGGTCCCGGCATGGGCAGCCGCATGGGTCCTGGACCTCGATTCGGAGGCGCGTATCGTTAAGCCAGAGCAGTCGAGCGTTCGCCTAGATGCCGCTGCGCATTGTATTGCCCGAGGCAGATGACTGCGACCGCTCCCCGAGTCAAGCTTACGTTACAACCGCTATCCAATTTTGCCTCTCCTTATTCTGCCCGAACTGACCACCGAGCAAGAATTTGTCGACTTTCACTTAGGAACATTTTCCCTTGCAGGTAATTTACAGATCACCCGTCATCCTACGCTCAGCTGGCTACAGCCTCTCTGGGTGCATTGGACACATCATGGTTATGGATTTTGCAATATGGAGGAGTACGCAGCTGTTAATCGTGAGGGGGCCTGCATTCCATAGATGACCTGTCAGCATATGCCTGGGCGGGCTGGCGGTGGTCGCACCTTTGGGGTCCTCCTGCCTAAAGCAAGGAGACCTCATCGGCGCCGGCTACGCTGACCCAGTTGGCTTTAGGTGATCTTTTACAGGAGGGCTAGGGAGTTTGTTCTGGCACGTCGGCGGGCACTGAGATTGTGGTTTCCCACCTTCTGCTTTTTACGGCAGAGTCTGGTGGTCTGTTAGGCGTGCCAAGTAGAGATGACGCTCATTAATGAAAATGTTTGGCTTTAGCACTGATACAGGTTGCATGACTTGAACGGAAGCCCGAGTCGTGCGCTTCATAATACATGAATGTCCCGGCATCATTGGCATGTTTGGGTAGACGTAGCCCCTTTGAGTTCGTGACATGCTGCGAGATCCAACGCCTGTAATGTAGCCGCCCCATAGACTGCGTGAGATTCGAAGGCTGAATAGTGTGAGTGGTTAATCATCATGAGGCAACCGTTTCTGCTTGAGCTTCAGGCCCCTCGGTGTCCAACGGCGGAAAGTCTGTATCGAGTGAATGGGGAAGATCCATTTCCGGTGGTGCGACGACCTCGTCTCTCTCCCAGGGTTTCTTTGGTGCGGCTCTTGAGCCAACGGGTTTCACTCCCTGCTCAGATAGTAAGAATACGAGCTACACTGGCGCATCATGTGGAGGTAAAATCTCACCGGGTCTCTAGCAACCGTGTTGGGGATCTGCCTAATTCCCGGAATCGGCTTCCCTTCTTGCAGGAGCTTAAGCATCTCGGCGAAGCCCATCGGGTAGCTTGGCTCGCCCGCGCCGCCAGGGGACGCCTGAGACGCGGCACTGCGGTCCACGTAGAGGTCGGCCTTGGGGGCTGCCTGCTGCCAGGAGAGAGTCGGTGCGGAGGATGCGTCTCCCGCCGCCTTGTCTCCTGCGTCGTCCTGCGCGGGGAGGTACTCTGGGGGGACGACCTGCGGCGGCTTGTGGTCGGGGTGGTCTGCGAGCCATTGCTGGTACTGGGCGAAGTCGATCTGTACGCCGATGCGTTGCGCGTAGTAGAAGACGCGGGCGTGCGTGGCGATGTCTGTGGGGGAGCCGCCCTGCGGGTTGGGCGAGCCGGGTTCACCGAGGATGGCAGAGAGGCCGGCCTGTAAGGAGGGGAGAGACGGACGGGTCAGCGTTGAGGAGCGTCATGAAAGTCGCGGATGAGATGCTCATGGCGGCAGCATCGGCACCAGCAGCGGCAACCGCTAGGGATGTTTACAAGGACGAGAGGAGCGAGTCCGGGCAGACGTACCAGGAATGCCTTGTCCTTGCTCCAGGGGTAGGAGTCAAAGGCCTGGAAGATGGAGTCTTGGTCTGTGAGGGAGCGGATGCGGTCGGCGCCGGAAGCCGTCGGCTGTTGATGTGGTGGCGGCGGTTGGGCCATGGTAATCTAGGTGCGCAGGTCTGCTTCCCCGCGCGAGGAAAAGCACCTTGGTAAAGGATGATGTGAGGTGAAATGAAGTGGCCTGGCTCGGTGTCGCGTGGGCGAGACGTGTAAGTCTACGGGGTGTGAGTGAGAATGAGGTTAGGTTGACTTGCATGTGACGAGAGACAGGGAGTGAGCAAGACGCAGGCGGCGGTCGTCGTCGGGTCGGGTCGCTGGCTGGGCTGGCTGGGTCCCTGCATCTGGGGTCGGGCGCTCTCCAGCAGGGGAGGGTCTGGCACTGGCACAGTGGACAATGCATGGCCGTGGCGGGTGGGCTCAACACGGGCATGGCAAAACCTCGGGGGCGGTGCAACGACCTCGTGGCATGAGGTGGTCGCTGTAAGCCGGGTGGTCCAACGGCGAGGTCGCTGTTCCACCTGCAAGCACCGACGTCCAGTAGATCGGCTCAAATCCGGTCAGACGCACTTGTCTGGCGCTGTCTAGAATAGCAAGAGAGAATCGCACTGATGTGCATCCTCAGTGGCGAGATGGAGCTCTGCAGGTCGTCAGCACTTGGACGCAGACTGCCACGGGCGGGCAGGCGTTCAACGCTCTGGCGTTCCTATCGCACTGCACTGTGGTGGATTGTCACTGCGCGCGGCGGTGCCGGCACGGCAGTGCGCCGCAGCTGCAGGCCATGCCAACGCCCCGCAGCGCACGAGACTGGCCCGCCATCGGCGGCGCCCTTGTACCTCTACTCACTGGAGGTACCTCACCTCCCACGCCCCCCTCGGTAAACCGCCAATCGCCGCCCCTCGATTCGCAGTGACAGGCACCGATCAAAGGCGCACCTGCCACTTCTGGACCTGCCGCTGCAACCCACCTCCCCAGCCCAGCTGCTTCTCGTCTCTCGCAACCCCGACTCGACTCGACTCTCCTTCGCCTCATCCGCCGCCGAGCGAGAACGAGCACCAGAGCAGCAGCGGCCCGGGCCATCTGCCATCCCTCGACCCAACCCGCGGGTTCGCCGTCCAACCGTCATCCGCCCGCAGCAATCGCGTCCGACCACAGCTGCGATCACCGGAGCAGTCGCAGTGTGCAGCGCGGCATCAGCTCAGGGTGCCCACGTCGCCGTAGTCAGTCCGCCAGCGTCGTCGGTCGCTTCATCGCCAACACTCCGCCCCGATGCATCGCGCGGCCGTCAGAGCGTTCCGCACCACGTCGACATACCTCAGCGTCGTCCGCAACCTCTCCCGGACCGCCTCGCGAACCCCGCGCCGCGCCCTCTTCTCCTCCGCGAGCCACCTCGCACAACGTCAGCAGCCCAGCGCCAATGAGCCTCTGAGGTCCTCGATGTACTTTCGCCGCCTCCCTGTCGCCCTCGTCTCCAGCCTCGTCGTCGGCTACGGCGCCTGGTACTCGTACAATTCGTCGAGCGTCCCGGGCGGCCAGGCCGCGCGCAGCTTCACCTCGAAGCAGGGCGCCGGTGTCGGGGCTGGGGATGCCGTGCCGACGCGCACCGTCCTTGTCGTCGGCGCCGACGAGCTCAGGCAGGGCACCATCGTGGGCGAGGGCCCGATCTTGAAGCCCACGTCAGACGACGGCCGCAGGATCGTCGAGATGCTGACCCCCGATCAGGCCACGCAGAAGCTGCGCCGCTTGGAGCAGTCCTTTTCTGTGAACCGCGGCGAGGGCGTTACAAGATATGATCTGGTCCAACTGCCTAGCAACGACCCCATCGAGGACGACCACGCCGAGAAGATCGTCGAGGTTCCTAGCCGCGCAGCAGGAGCCGAGACCAACAGCGATTGGATGTTCTGGGGCGTGTTTGACGGTCATTCGTAAGCCGAGCTTGTTCGTTACACTGCCACATTCAACTGACATACGCCCAGCGGCTGGACTACGTCAGCGACCCTTAGAGAGAGCCTCATCAGTTACGTCGCCAGGGAGCTCAACCATACATACAAGGCCTCCGACGCTAGCCTCCCGAGCTCGGAGGCCATCGACCTAGCCATCAAGACCGGCTTCAACCGCCTGGACCACGAGATCGTTCACAAGAGCGTTGAGAAGGTCTTCAAGGCAAGCTCCAAGGCCGTAGCTGCCGAGCTACTGCAGCCAGCATTGTCCGGCTCTTGCGCCTTGTTGTCCTTCTATGACAGCAGAAGCAAGCTGCTCCGCATTGCTTGCACTGGTGACTCTCGCGCGGTTCTGGGCCGACGGTCCAACTCGGGCAAGTGGACGGCAACTGCACTGTCAGAGGACCAGACGGGCAGCACCCCCAGCGAGGTAGCACGGATGCGCAAAGAACACCCTGGAGAGGACAATGTGGTCCGCAACGGCCGTGTCCTGGGCGGCTTGGAACCGACTCGTGCATTTGGCGATGCAGTCTACAAATGGAGCCGGGATGTTGCCGGAAAACTCCGCGAGAGCTTTTTCGGCCGCAGCCCATCTCCCCTGCTCAAGACGCCGCCATACGTCACTGCTGAGCCGGTCATCACGACGACCAAGATTGAGCCCGAGAACGGCGACTTTGTTGTGCTCGCCACTGACGGCCTCTGGGAGATGTTGACCAACGATGAGGTGGTTGGTCTTGTCGGGCAGTGGATCGAATCCCAGGCCGCAGGCTCGTCCAGCTCGCAGTTCGAAAACGCCTGGGCCAAGATCTTTGGCTCGGCCAACAAGCCGCTCCCCATCGAGCAAGGCAAGGGTGACGGGTCAGATGGCCAGCGGACGCCTATCCGCGTACAGCAGTGGGGGATCAACCCGGATGCAAAGGACCGCTTCACCGTCCAGGACAAGAACGTCGCGACGCATCTCGTTCGCAATGCGCTGGGTGGGAACAATGACGAGCAAGTGCGGGCGCTCCTCACTCTCCCTTCACCCTTTTCCAGGAGATATCGGTAAGGCTCGAGAGCCCGGTCCCCTTTCACAAGTATCGATCCTAACAGTGTCTCGCAGGGACGATCTGACGGTGCAAGTCATCTTCTTTGGCAAGGGCGAGAAGACGGGCGAGGTGACAGTAAATCTCGACGCCACGGCCCAGCCGGACGAGCCCAAGGCGAAGCTCTAGACAGCCCAGCCGGGCAAACGACCGCAACGGTACAGTCGCAAGATGCTGGCGCTAGTCAGCATGGCGTTGACGGCCCTGTCTGCATGGTGTCTTGCCTGATGCGGGCTGCATCATTGCCTCACCACGGCAGTGTGAACGGCGCAGGAGCGACTGGTTGAAGAAGGATACACAAGCGGAGCGTCTAAGCGTAAACTATGGCTATTCTGTCTTACCCGCCGCCGCTATCTCGGGATATCGGGACCAAGGCGGGCGAAACTCTATACTCACACACGAACAGCGCCTGCGGTTGTATACGTGGGATACGCGGTTCCAGACAGGTGCCCGTCAGCACCCACCCCAAAAACGGCACTCGATCGTGCCGACGAATACTATTTGTACTAGAGAATAATAAGAAACGGTTCCGGTTCTCGCTAATGCACCTTTCGCCCAAAAACGCCGTGACACGGTCATGCTCTATTCCCAGGCTCCTCCGTGTTGCTCGTACAAACGCCACCAATGCAGTACAATATTCAAAACGACAATCTCGAAGAAGCGTGATCGAAAAGTGAAAAGAAGAAATCGTGACAAAGGGGCAGGTCGCGCGCCTCAGGTGTTGCTCTTGGGCCAGAGCAGCTTCCTCGTCCGCAGGCAGTGGAGCATGGTGACGAAGACGCCGACCCAGACGATGACGAGTACGATGGTCATGATGGAGCCGAAGAGCCGGAGGCCCTTGCTCTGAAAGATTTTGCCCATGACTTGGGTAGCAGTGACCTGGATGAAGGTGAGTATGCCTAGAAGAAGAGAGGTTTAAAGATGGGGGGCGAGTATGGGCCTTGATCGTACCAGTGCCGTGTTAGGGAACACAAACGACCACCACGTCATTTGAAAGGGCAGGCTGCTCCCCGACCGGGCGTACTTCCACAGGGAGCCCACGGAGACGAGAAAGAACCACATGGCGAGGCCCCAGAGCCAGAGCCCGACCAGGATGGACACCACTCTGACGATGTCGACGGTGGTCTCGGAGCCGAGAAAGCTATGGGGAAAGATTTGACTGGCTTGATTCCCGAGCTGTGCGATTCCCGCGGCGGTGAAGCCAAATGGCCCTATCGACATGAACTTGGCGGGGTCTCAGCAAATGCATTTTGTCGGGGGAGGCTCTCATGAAAACTCACCACACCTGGCCGCTGGGTATCGCGCGGCAGCTTCTGCGTCATAAGCCGGTAGACGAACGCTGACGAGATCATGAACGCAATGAGGCATCCGGTCCCCTGGGTCGTTGCGGCGCCGAGGGCAACCGCTGTGGCGTTGAGCGAAAGAGTGTGGCTCGAGGTCTCGGCAGCGTCGATGAGGGTTGCGGCAAACGGTGCCGTGAGCAGCAGAGGGTATGCTGGAAAGACCCACGTCGGTGTCATTGTGTGGACAGGAAAGATGCTGTCGTAGTCAGTGAGCGTGTGTTGCGATGGGACCGTGCGCACGTCGACTTACAGTGTTGACCATAGGACAAGGTAAATGCCGGCACTCGCAAAGACGCTCAGCGCCACGTAGAACCAGAACATGACCTCCATGGTCCTGAGGAGCCAGACGCCCGAGCGCGGCACGCCATACTCGCAAGTGTTGATCATGATGATTGCGATGGAAACAAAGAAAGCCGGGATGAACAGAGACTCGACTTGGTCGGTGAAGGACCTGACGAAGCTGCCCGGGCGTAGGTAAAAGCGCGCGGCGATGAGGATACAGTGAAGCAGGAAAAGTGAGACGTTCAAAAGGAAGAAGAAGACGCCGATGCCCGTGACCCAAGATGCCCGGTAAGGAAGAGAATGAATGACGTTGGCGATGCCGCCGGTGGCCATGGTCATGGTGAAGTAGGTCCATTGGTAGCAGGCGATGCGGTCTCTGAGAGTGACCTTGGCGTCCGGCAACATGGTCTCTGCCTTCTCTACCATGCCATTGAGACTTGATTGATTGGGAGGCCAGCGACCGTGCCCACGCGCGGCGTGTGCATGGCCAGCTGAGGCGGGCGCTGCGACATACGACGGCCGTGAGGTGAATGGAGCGCGAGGGACGGGGCCGTGAGCTGCAGGACTTGGTGCAACGGCGGCGGATCCGTGAGGCTGATGAAAGCTCGGGGTCGGTGACGGCGACGAGAAGAACGGCGGCTGGTTTTCCTCGGTCGGCGACTCATACCCGCAGCCCTGAGATGAGACGGCTCGCTCGCTGCGGTGAGGCGAGTCGGTCGGCATCACCACTTGGGCGCGGTCGGCGGCGGCCATGACGACGCCGCGGCGTCCAGGTCCAGGTCCTCGGGGCGGCGGGCGACGAGCTTGGAGACGAAGTAGAGGACGACGAGCAGGCTGGGCTCGGCATGGGAGAAGGCGAGGTTGATGTAGACGAGGTGGGTGAGGAAGACGACGTGGTTGAGGACGAGCGACCCGACGTTTGCGAGAGGCATGATGAGGTGCGTTTCGGGGTGGCGATGTGTAGGAATAGCGTCGACGAATTGGAGCCGGCTGAAGATCTGCGCCGCGGGCAGGGCTGAAGGATGTGGGCTGTAGACTGGAGGGTCGCGGACGAGTATCTGTGTGTGTGGCTTGTGTCGGCGACGACGGATCTTGGCGGGCGGCCAGGACAGGACGAGGGGCGTTTATAAGGGGGGCGAGCAGACGGTGAGTAAACACCCGGGCGAAGTTGGATGGAAAGGCGATGCCAAGAGGGTTTGCCTCCACAGTATCGATGGCTGTAGGTAGGTAAGTAGGCACCGACCTGCAGGCGCGAAATATGTACGGGGTATGTGAAGTAGCAAGCGCGGAGGGCGGAGCCGAAGAAGTGGCAAGTTATTATTGCAGCGGACCCAGGGCTAAGGTGCGATGGCGTAGGTAGGTTGGCTTCCCCGTCTCGTCACCGGCAGAGGCGGAGGTCCCGACAGATGTTGGTGGCGATGGGGGACGAGACGAGACGAGACGAGCTGCGCGAAGAAGAGATGTTGGTGACGCGAAATGGACAAACATGGAAAGCCCGACAAGGCTACAGACGATAGGAGCGGCTTTCGGCACCCACGAGCGAGCGAGCCCGACGGTCTGGGAGGCGTGACGAAAGGGAGGGACGCAGGGGGGGAATCAACCGGCGGTGCCTCTCCCCGGAACCCCTGTCAGTCGTGTCTCTGGGCTTGGCGATACGTAGTATGCAGGGCGGTCTGCGTTGTCCGCGTCTCTGGGTCTGCGTCTGCGTCTGGGAGTCTGCAGGCAGGCGCACGACGATGTCTGTTGGCCGAGCCAGAAGTGACGACGACGAATTACCCCCGTTGGAGATGTTGGCGCGCACGCCGGCACGAGAGAGGGCGGGTTGCAGCCAAGCCCTGCGCGGGCCCGTGGGAATTGGGAGAAGGTCTTTGGTCGTCGTGCCGACTGCCGCCACCGAGGATCGGGTCCCGCGTGCGTTGCAAACGTGGATTTTCGTAGGTAGGTGGGAGTGATGATGGACGATGGTAAAGTCTGGTTCGCCGTTACCATGCCCCAGGGCACGACGACGTGATGTGCTAACTTCACGGGCACTGCATGTAGTTGTAGAGCCTATCTTCAGTGGCGTTGCGGGCGCCGGCAAGCGCGCCCCAACGGGCCTCTTGCCCTCCACACTCCCAAGCGGCGTGCGCACAGCCGCCTAGGCATTCAGACAGCCAGCCTGAGGCGCCGTGTAGCTTTCAGAGTCACTGCCGGCCTGGGCATCGCGCCGCAGGTGGTACAGGCCTATAACGGCTGCGCTCGGTCCCAACCCGCTGGATACACTGCTACTCGACATAGGACGCCACGGAGACGACGTGCACGGGAGATGGCCTTCTGCGGCGATCCATTTATACCCACATGTCTTTAGAGGTGGCCCTGAGCTGGTACCAATGTCAAAGGACAGGACGGACAACCATCAACCCGCACAGACACGAGGAGGCGCCTTGCGCTCGCGAGAACCGAGACCCCAGCGCACGCGCGATACGCGACATATCATCTGCCACGAGGAAACGTGTTGTGCCAAGCCCAACGGCGACTTTGCCCCAAACGCAATGCTCGTGAGCGCAAGGGCCGGCACTGTACCTAGGACAGACCGCTGGCTCTCTGACCGAGGTGTTTCGCCGGCCACGAGAGGAGGAGTTGGGTTTCGCGCGCGCACGCACGGGGCATCCGCTGTCTTTCTCTCCGCTGGAGAAACAAAACGGTCACTGCCCCGCTCTCTGCACGCCCGCGCCCGCGCCCGCACCCACCAGTTGACGTCCGTCCGGCCCCCCAAACTCCCCCTACCCCTGCCAATCCCCGGCGTGTTAGGTACGGTAGTGCCCGGCCCCCCCATCCCCCCGGGTCCCGTCCCCCCGAGTTTACGCCCGGCAGGTCGTCTTCGAGTGCTCTCCCACGACGAAAGCACAGCGGGGCCCTGCACGTGATGCTCGTCATCATGCCACCGTCGCGTCGTCGCCGAGAGCGGACCCAACCAACTAACGTTCAGTGACAGCTTTCGGCACAAAGGACCAGTTGGCAGCTCTTCCTCCATACCCGACAAGACAACACGGTCGAGCAACGCCTCCAATTGCGCCCACCTGGTCGCAAGGCTGCAAATGCAGCGCCCTCGTTATCATCAGGCACTTGCTCCGATTTGATTGGAGGCTTTTCGAGGGCCTCCCCTCCGCGCCCGCGCTTTGCCCACGCTGGCCCTGGGCAACGTCTTGTCGACGGTCGCATAGACGACAGCTGGCCTCCCAAGGCATGCGCTGCTAAGGCACGATACCGCGTCGGGCCGGCCACAACTCCACGATAGTGTATCCTGGACAGCTGCTGCCGCCCAATATGACATTCACGAATGCGCCCGTCACGCGCCTGGCGGTCCTCGGACTCGTCTCCGTGTCCATCGCCGCGAGCATGCTCGACGTCAAGCACTACTTCTACATCCTCATCGACACCCACCTGTGGCGGTACCGGCAATTCTGGCGGCTACTCGCCTACCAGGCTTGTTACACCAACTCGACCGAGGTGCTTTTCGCGGCCATCTCGCTCTACAACATGAGGGTTGTCGAGCGCATGTGGGGGCCGCGCAAGTACGCCGTAAGTCCGCTTGAAGCTCTCTCATGTCGTTGCCGTTAGAGTCCCAACCCCGCTGACCGTTGTGGTGTGCTAGTCGTTCCTCATCGTCACGTACCTGTTGACGGCCTTTATCCCGCTGCTCATCATGGCCGTCCTCCGCCCGCTATCTTCCACCCTCTTCAACTACATGCCCGCCGGCCCGACACCCATCATCTTCGCCGTCCTCGCCCAGTTCTACGCCATGGTGCCACACATGTACAAGTACCGCGTGGCCACGTCGCAGGCCCCGCCGACGAGCGAGCCCTTCTCCGGCGTGACGTTCTCAGACAAGACGTATCAATACCTCATCGCGTTCCACCTGTCGCTGCTGCAGTGGCCCGGCTCGGTGATTGGGGCCGGCGTGGGGTGGCTCGTGGGACATGCGTGGCGAGGCGGCGTGCTGCCGGTGGCGTTGATGTCGTGGCGGTTGCCCGGATGGATGGTCGGGCTGAGCTCGCAAAGACGCAGCGCGGAGTTTGAAGGGCTGAGGCGAAGGCTGGAAGGGGAGAATTCGACGGGCGTGTCGACGGGCGTGCAGGGGCAGCCCGACGGTGGGCAGGCGGATAGACGGCGCACGATGGGACAGCAGATAGTAGATCAGTTCCGCGAGGCGCTGTAGGTTGTGCTTGATACCGACTTCTAGAGTCTAGACTAGGGTTGGTAATGGCAATCGTACCAGTACCAACCTCCTTACTTCGTGACTTGTGTCGTTTTGCCTTTGTGGCCACCGAGCACTGTGATGCATGATAGGTAGGAGGGCGAGGTTGAGGAATGAGTGTGGCATCTGAAGTCATCCCATCTCCAGACGAAGTGCAGCTGCCCCTGCCTTCTGCTGCAAGACAAGTCCTGCATCAGAGACGCGACAACATGGCCTCACCCGCATTCGTCACCCCACAGCCTTCCCAAGCTTTCGCTGTAAGGCAACCGATGTGTCAGAGACGGGATAACAACGTCATCTTACCCGTACGTATCGCGCCGTCTCGGCCTCGTGTGGTGTGCGAGTCCGTGCCGAGAAAAGCAAGCAGCAAGCGTTAGCGCGTCATACGGAGCACTTTTATGTTTGTGTGTTGCTCTTGTCGTGGCGTTGGCCGTGCCGCGCGAGCTTTTCTTTTCGTCAATCTCGTTGCGCCAAGTAGCTTGCAAGCAAAATCCAGCGATAGTTCAGGCATTGTCTTCAGCCATATGACGTCTTCATACGAATATAAGGAGAACAACCGGAATTCCCCTATGCATGACACGATGATCAGCTCGATGCCTGTATGTACGTATGTACGCACGAAATGTACAGGCCAGGTCTCTCGGCTGGCGGCAGATGGGTGTGTTCATCTCATGGATCCGGGCCCCCCGGGCCGGCGTCTAATCTCGTCCCGAGATGCTGGGAAATTAGGACGTGGGCTTTCGGGGATCCCCAGCTCGCAGCCGCAGACGCCGCCGCTGGCTGGGCTCTTTTCGGCTGGGAAAATTTTCCATTCTCACGGCGTGGAAGGCAAGGCAGGACAAGGGCAAGCAAGCACCTCATCATGCATCGTCGCGTAAAATAATCACTTTCGGGGCTCCGGGATGATGATGGAAGACACCCATGCAACGAGCAAGGGCCATCGCTGCATGGGTGGCATGTGGGTGATCATCCGCACCAGCACGGCGGCGAACATGAGGAGCGGCGTGCGCTAGACGGTTCAAGTTTCGACACCAGCACCTCAGCTCGAGCACCTGGACAAGTCTCAAAAGCCATATTACGTCCTGCGCAGGTTGTCGGCCCTCGGAGCCGAGGCCAGAATGCGCCAGTCGTACGAGTAAAACGCCTTCGGGCCGCCGAGTACTCCGTAGAGTTGGCTGCATCAAGCAGTGGGAAAGGGTACGTGCTCAAATTGTGTCAATTCCTGCCCGCCGCGTCGGCTGCTTGGCATGCCTCAGGGGGGCTTGGGGCGGAGGGGACGCGCATGCGCTGTAATCCAAGGATACTGACTCCGTGCCTTACAGCATGGCGGGCGGTCCCACTGCTGCTGCAGGAGGTGCCCGCCCGCCCATGCCGTCGCCCACGCGCGACCGTCCAGGCACCGCGACGCTACTGGACGGCCGCTGGGCGAGGCCCCCCTCCCTCCCAAAAAAGGAACCACTGTCGCCCGCTGTTTGCCTGGGGCTGGATGGCCTGGGTACCAAGTGATGAGCTGCCCCGCGCGCGCCACGGTCTGCTCCAGGGGAGGTGCCCGCCTCTCAGCCCAACCGCCGCAGCGAAAGCGCGCAAAAAGGATTTGAGATGGACTCGGGGGAGGGTGCCTGAGCTGGATGGGATGGACCCAGCAAATCCGCCTGACGGGGAGTGACGGGTCCCGCATTGCAGTCTGGTCCGGGTCTTCGTACCTCCCATGAGGTGCTGACGGGAGGTACCCGGCCCAGGCCTCGCAGAGCCGCCCACACCTGACGAGGTGGGCAGCTACCTTAACTTTCGGTACCTTGCGCTACGCTATCGGCTGCTCCAGCGGCTGCTGCAGCCCCAGCCAGCCTGCGCGCCCTGCCCTTTGCCCGAAGGGCGGGACTCCTTTTTCGAACGTCCCGTCGCCAATTGTCCAGCCACCCATCCGCCCTCCACGACTCTTTGTCCAGCCAGCCCAGGCACACAAGCGCCCGTGATCCTGCCCCCCCATTCCACGACTGTTGGTGCTGGGCCCCATTCCCGTTTGCTTCCTCGACCGTCCGCCCGCCCGCCCGTCTTCGTCGCGATCCCGGTCCGCATCCGCAACCACGACGCTGGGGGGATACACGCCCTTGCCGCAAACACCTTGCATAGGTGCACGACAACCCGTCACGTCGCCTCCGATCGATCGAGTCTCGCCCTGCCTTTAGCGACACAGTCGGGCCGTCTCTTCGCGACGTGGACAATCGCAGCAGACAGCTGCAGCCTTGCTCCCTGCTCGCTCGTCCCGGTCCTGCGACGCATGGCGAGCTGACCCGTCTCGACATTTTACGGCCCGCCGTTTCTTTCCTGTGTAATGTGTATATGATAAACGACCGTTCGGACGACCAGTCGAGTTAGAAGGGAATCGCTCGCCCAGCATGAACGGGTATCCCGGGGGAGGCGCTCCCTACGACTACGGGGCCTCGGCCCTGTCGCCGCCGACGACGAGCCCCAAGAGCAAGATCTCGCCAGACGGATACAGAAGAGATGCCCCTAATATCTTTGATCGCGATGCCCCGCGATTCAACTTGGTGAGCGCGCTCGACTCCCCAGTGCCGCCACGGCAATTGAGTCTAACGCCTTTGCAGGGCAACGGCAATGCGACGACGAAATCGGGTGTCGTGGACCTCAAGGACCCCATTCAGATTCACCTGCTCACCGAGACGGCACTATCAGACAGCAAGGGCTACGAGATATTGACGCAGGAAGAGGTGGATGAGCTGAAGAAGCAGTCGCAGCTCCTCGCACAACGCGTCGAATCCACCAGGACGAATCTCGCGATCCAGTCAAAGTATCGAGATGCGGCCGTCTCCATGGCGAAACTGTACCGCCCCGGCGGCGCCAACGCGTCTGCGCCCGACGACCGAAACGCAGTGGAGGCCGAACGGGAGAGGGAGTCGTGCGAGCAAAAGTGCGAGGAGTTGGCCGCGGAGCTCTTCAACCTGGAGAAGCGTCTCATGGTTCCTCAACGCCGATTGCTCGAGCATACTGCCGGCATCCTGCAGCTCACCCACAAAGCGTCCAAGAGGAGGGCGCCGCTGCAAAATGGTCAACCCCCGAACGGCATCCCAGGGAGCCCCGAGAGCCTATACACCTACTCCCACAGCAGAAATAGCCTGGATCAGAACGGCGAAGAGCAACACCTTGACGATCCGAGCTTGTATCAGCTGGAGTCGCTCGAGGGCGTAAACGGGCGGGCAGTTAGGAAGAACGCCATCGAGATTCCCATGAAGTCACCCATTCGCGAACAGAACCAGATGGACCGGTTCCGAGAGGAAAACATGCAGCTGCGTGGCCAGACGGACATGCTCATCAAGAAGCTCCAGAGCCTGAATTTGTCGCTGCGGGAAACCATTGTCAGGTTCAACCCCGAAGTCAACAGGGCCTACCAAGAGCCACCGGGAGACATTGTCTCGCAGGACGCGAGGCCTGCTGAGCTCATCAAGAGCCAGATCGATTACCTCGAAAGCGGTCTCGTCGCCGTACAAGCCGAGCAGGATTCATTCGCCGGAGGCAAGGAGATGGGCGAACGGATCGAGTCGTTGAACCTTCAAGTTCGGGATCTGCTCATGTCCTCCGACCCTCACTATACGCCCACCCCTATTCCCGCAGAGTCCGACGTGCAAGGCGGCCTCTCCTACCTCGAAGACTCTCTTCGCCTCGCTGATTCGCAGCTGGGTCGGGCATTGTCAAAGGGTCACGACAGCGATTCCGGCCCCGTGCTTAATGATCTGTGGGACGGCATTCAGAGAGGGTTCATCGAAGCAAAGAAACGCAAGGAAGATCGCAAGAGATCCCGAATGGACAAGGGTCTGCCTGACGAAGACGACATGTCAGAAGATGAGGCATTTGACACGAATGAGCCATACTCTCTGAATTCATTCGCGACTAGGGTTCAGTGGCTACACTCTCAGGCCTCAACACTGAAGGATCAGAAATACGTGCTGAAGAGACAGATCAAGCAGCAGCGCGAGCTGAACAACAAGTCTGACGCCGAGAAGGATGAGGAGCTCAGCCGAAGGCAGGAGGAGCTCGAACAAAGCCGTGAGCTTTTGTCGAGGGCCGAAAAGGACGCCATGGACGCGCAGAGGATGCTCTCAGACGCGCTCCAGGATCTGGAAAAGGAGAGGGGCTCAGCAGGCGCAGCCGAGGCCGCCGAAGCCGCCATCCAGGATCGCAACGCCAAGATTGACGCTCTAGAGACAAAGCTGAAGGATGCGCAGAGCAAGCTTGCTGCCGCCGAGGCGAACGACCAGGGATCCGGGCAGAAATTGAGCAGCTTCGAGGCCCAGATTGCGACGCTCACACAAGAAAAGACCGCCGCGGAGGACAATGCTCAGAAGCTGCAACAGCAGCTCAACGAAAAGACGGCCACCATGACGGCAAACGCCAAGGCCATCAAAACGAAGGAGGACGAGCTGGAGCTGCTCAACATGACGCTCGCTGAGCTCAAGACGGAGCTGACCATTGCTCGGGCGGAACTGGACGGCGCGTATGGCTCCCGTGCAGAACGCGCGGCAGAAGTCGCGGCCATCAAGACCAGCGCCGAGGTGGTTAAGCTCCAGAACCAGGTCGACCGACTCAAGAAGGAGCTCGGCGAGACGGTCCAGGAATTGGAGGCCATCACCAAGGAGACGATCGGCTCAGAGCGTGAGAAGCTGGAGCTGGAGGCCAAGTTGGACGAGGCCCTCTCCGCCAAGGCATCATTCGAGGCCGAGACGCAAAAGACGAGAGAGAGGATGGCCAAGCTCCAAGAAGACCTGGATGGTGAGAGGCTGAAGGCGTCTGCGGGCGGTGGCAAGCCCGGAGCTGGTGCGTCTATGCTGAGCGAGCAATTCCGGGCGACGATGCGGGAGGAGCGCAAGAAGTTCCAAGAGGACATCAAGGTAAGCAACCACTCGCCAATGGCCCAAGGAGCAGCTGCTAACGACGGTCTCAGGAGGAGCGTGCAAGGTGTCGCAGGCTCGAGGAAGAGCTGGGCCGGCTCAAAAGGAGCCAAGGGCCAGGCAAAAGCCCGCTCAGCCCCCGGCAATAATCACTGCAGAACGCCAACCTCGCGCTTTCTCACACGTCATCCGATCATCCTTCGTGCAGGTACACCAGCCTGCTCTCTTTTCTTGTATATTCATTCATACGGACTCTGTTCCCTGTATCATCTTGCTTTCATGGGGCCAGCTATTGGGCATCGGCCGGTTTGGCTATTTTCGCTTCTTGTAACATATCTCTATTTTGGGGAATCGGTTTTGTTATCTTTTCGGTTTCGGGCCTTTGATGAGGGGTGCGTTGGGCATTATAGACTTGTACTTGCATGGGCAACGCCGTCTCGACGGCGACAAAGAGGTGCCGAGGGGAAGAAGGAAGCAGGAATAGCAGGAGAGGGGTTGACAGAAAAACAAAGGACGCCCGTGTTTATATAGGAAGTATAAAGACACAGGGGACTTGGATGTGGACGGGGCTGGGGCTTCTTTGGATTCGCCCCACAGATGTCAGTCAGGGTTAGGACAGAAGCAGCCATAGTCTTTGATAAAGAAGCATGTTGACGTGTTTGTGGCTCTCACTGTCGACACCCCGAGGACGTCGTGTTGTTGCCAACTGTCACCTTTCACAGAATTATGAGCCCGTGCCGTACTTCTTCCCTTCCACAGAATTAATGTCCATGAGCGGTGGACGGATGCTTGTACCGCGACATGCTGCATCGTGGAAAGGCTGTTTGACAATGTCGATTGACAAGGACGGCAAGAGATCCAGCCTCGATCATGTTTACAAAGGTCAATTGGTGAGGACAGCGAGAGGTTCAGGCTCAGCCTCGACCCCGGCATATTCACGACGGGCTGCGTCTGTTGTGACGGTCGGAGATCTCCGGTCTGGATATGAGGTCTGTAAGTGGCGTCTTGACAACATATACCAAATACACTTGATAGGCGGATGGACGCAGGTATAAGCGGGAGGCTCCACGGAGAGAGAGAGAGAGTCTCCGCGAACGGAGAGGTACAGACGGAGAGGGTCAAAAACGGAACCCGCACCAAGGGAGACACTGTGGAGGGGGATCCCTTGCCGGGTGATGCATCACGGGGGCAAGAAACCGGACATGAGGCCTGGTAGTGGCATCTCGATAACACAAACCAGCCACGTACGCGGACGGACGCATGTACGAGCGGAAGGGCTCCACGCGGAGAGAGAGAGAGTCTCCGCGAACGGAGAGTCACAGACGGAGAGGAGCCAAGAAGGGGACCCTCACAAAGGCAGAAACTACGGAAAGAGTTCTCATGCCGGGCAATGCGTCACGGCGGCGAGAGGTCACGGAGCTCCGCTTCACGGTGAGACTTCACAGAGAAACCTCACGGACAAAGATGCCACGAAAAAGAGACACCTAATAAATGTCGTCATGCCCTCATGCCGGTCCACGGAAGCACCACGGCCCGCCATCCCCGCACGCGCCTATGCGTGCGTCCCATGGTCAAAGTTAAAGAGCGGCGTGAGCGGACGCCGCCCGCGCGTTCGCTTAAGCACGAACCCGCACCGAGGGTCCGTTTTGAGAACCAGACGGACCGTTTTATCTTATTTCTGTCAGGGTCCACGCATAGGTGAACCTAAGGCCGGGCAGGGACGAAAGCTAAACAATGTGGACAGCTCAGGGGACCTGGCCATAAATAGGCATCGACGTGACCAGCCCGCCTTAGCTCATGGCACTGCGGCACGGCCCGGACGCATGCAAGCCAAGGACTTGAGCCTCCCGAACCCCCGCCCTTTGCATAGACTTCGCGGCAAGCCTGCCCCTATGAGGTTTCTTCCAGCCTTGTCCCCTTGCCCAAGCAAATCTAGCCATACAATCTACGGCCACAGTCCTATTCGGGTAATAGAGCTCATACGTAGGGCTTCGTGCACGGTCCTCCGCCCTTGAGCGTTGACTTCTAGAGTCCCTGCAGTGTTGAAAATCACATGAAAACGTCTTCACCACCGCCCGCCGCCGCCGCCCTGACTAGTGAGGGATGGGGTGGGATATGCAGAAGACACGTATGGGGGCGGATAAACGTCAGGGCATGCTCTGTTTTTCAGTCCGTCGTGGGGAGTCTGTCGATACATTGGATGCGTGATGTTCCCGGAGAACCGCCTGTCAGTGAATTACTTCATTTTGCGATGCAATGGCGTGTACTACATTTGCCGCCGTCGTGGAGAGCTGTCGTGTCGAGGCGATGAGTACAATCCCGCCGGCCCTAGGTAGCCTGACAACAGAAGTGATGCAAATCGCGTACATCATATTCTCCCCGTTGTGTGGGTTTATCCCGAGCCATATCAGTCCGAGTGGTCTTGGAGGCCTCCCTTGTACCAACCATTGCGGCGTCATCTAAGTTTCTACGCACGTATGTACCCCGGATTTCGCGCATCTCACTACTTGAACTCTACGACCCTGGGCTGTCTAAGATATGCAACCCTACCCGCCCTTCCACCGGGCCCAGCCACGCGGCACCCTGGCCGCCGTTAATGAGAGAGCATTTACTTTGCAGAGTGCGTGCCCCTACGGTGGTGCCGCGCGCTGCGCAGCATGCCCACCTGCATCTTGCATATGTGAATGTTTGTGCATGGCGCCAATGTACGAGGACGGGCCAGATGCCGGCCGCCCTGCGGGATCTAGATACTCTCGGTAGCTACGTCGTTGATGCTTGCCACGCTGGCACTTCGTGACTCTCATGTGCTGTTCTCTTGCTTATGGCTGGGGGAAAGAGTGGACGGGCAATATTCCGGGTAGTCATCTTGCGTCCTACACTCGCGCCATGTAGTTGCAGACACACGCGCTTCTCTTACTCTCAGTCACTGCTCGTTTATCTTTGGCACCACTTCTATACCATTAACACGTCTTGACTTGAGCGTCACCAACCTTGAGGCTCTGCATCCTGTGTTCTCCACTCGCACGATCCCGTGCAGGTGCATGCGCTCTTCCTGTCCTCGTCTTCCCCACTCATTGCTCCCCGCCATCGCCACTTACACGCTGTTTGTAAGTCTTACATTGAACCTCATCAACCTGGCTGCTTTCTCAGTATATTTGGTCTCTTACTCGCGGTGCCAAGTGTAGACACATGTGCACCTCCATCATCCTCCCTCCTCTACCTCAACTCCCAGTCACGGTCCGCCGTCATCACAACTTACACATCGGCTACATAAGTAGTTAACTGCAAGCCTTCCACGAAACATCACATCACACTAAATATCAACCCAGCCACACAAGGTTGGTGACCCCTGACACTAAACTGCACGACCGTTGGGAAAAGCACTAAGCAAGCGTGAAGCCCGCAATGACGCTCGAAATTCTCGAATCTGTAACAATGGCCATGCTTACACACTGAGAGTTACTTTCTTGTCATCCTGTCGACGTCGTTGTGATTTCCGAGTTACGGTCGATGACAACCCGGAGACACATTCAATGCATTCAACTCACCAACACATGCAGTAAATCCACCAATCCACCAAACCACCGACTCACCAGGTCCCCGAGTCACCAAGACGGCAATTTAGTTGTTATTGCCGCCATGCCATTGCACCAACCTCCTAATTAGCACCCAATTCTAGTCACAACACATACATATTGTAACTTAACCAAAACATTGAGCAAATCAAGATACAAATACCAGCAACACAGTCACGCCGCGCTCCCTGAGACGGCCTCATGTAGCATATACCCGGCCAAAGTGAGGCGTGCGTGGAGGAAAAACAAAGCACGCTGGAGGATCCATGAAGAGGGGGGGCCGTAACTACGTACTTGAAGCAAAAGAGCGTCAATGGTGGCCTGAGCCTTTCCGATGAAGCTCTCGATACTAGCAGTGATGCTTCCGCAGATGTGTACACAACTGCTCAGGTCTGTCTGCCAAGCAATTGCCTCACATGGTGCATTTCCGCTGACGGAATTCAAGCGCGCTGCTAAAGACGGCGTGTTGTAAGCCACGCCGGAAAATCTGCATGAGTCCGCGCTGCTTTGGGCGACAAGCCATGCGTGCTAATTCATTCGCGGCCAGTGACCACGGTCGCAATCACTGATCAATGCCGAAACGCCATAGTAAACATAACGGGATCATCCATCGATGACCCTGGTTTGTGTATGATTGCCTCTTTACTCTCTCTGCTAAGAACCGGGGCCGAAGCCGCCACGCGAGTCTATCGAAATCCCGACCACCTGAAATCTTACAAGAAAAATGCTGGAGTTGCTCTCACCGGGTGCCGGCCCCTGACGTGGGCCCACGCGGTGGCAGGCGGCGTGCCTTGCACTCCGCCGTCATTTTCTTCCATTCCTCAACGCCGACTTGTCGAAAGCGCAAACCATGAAGCAGTATAATAGACTAATCGGTCGGCGAACGCGTCGCAGAGCTGCCTGTGAATCAAATGCTGAAGTGTAATTCGAATGCCGATGCCAAAAGCAAAAAATACAAAAGTCCGGCCGCCTGTTCCGTACCCGGGTCTAATGGCTTGAACTCCTGTAGCGAAAACTCCAATGGGTAAAGCTGTATGATAGACGATATGGCAAATGGTCGAAATATTTGTCGAGCCGGGGGGTTGTGAGAACCCCATGCCGAATTAGTGTGTAGTGTGATATAGTGGCGAACGCAGCTTTGTGTGTAGAGGCGTGTTTGTATGGTGCGGTGCGGTTATGCAGTTTAGCAAGACAGTCTCTCGGACTTGCCATGACTGAGTGTGCGTCGCCATTCTGTTTCGAGTATAAATTTTGGGAAGCCGTGGAGACGGACGTTGGGTTGAGTCGCCTCAGATCTGGTTTGGTGCGTCATCGAGAACCATGTCGTCCTGGTCGCCAGAGTATACGAGAGGGGCCCAGACCCTCCAGTGCAGGATACCGAGATGGGCGAGACGGGTTGCCATGTCTTCGATGCCACCCTCCTCCAGGCCGTCACGAGAAGACGTCTCCGTATCGCGGCTTGTCTGCAGCACGCCGCTGTTCTGGATGCGAGCACCCGTGGCGACGGCAAAGAGCGAGACGCCAGAAAGCGCCTTCAACTCCCGTACGCGACCGCTCAGCTCTGCCATGAGTCGTTGGCGGAAGTTAGACTCGACCTCCGCGTAGAGCTCGGACTTGGCTCTGCAGATTGTGTTGACAACCTTCTCTTCGAAGGTGGCGAGCATATCTTGGGGCGCGCTTGTGGACCGGAAGATCTGTACAGCCATGTATGGGGCCATTTCCTGCCAACGCGCATGAGGTCGCGACGTCGGCGTCGCAGTTTGCAAGAGGGCCACGAGGGAGGTGTATAGACTGCGGGCCTTTGCTCGGGCTTCAGTATTCTCCGGAGCGACATACGACGGGAGGACAACCGACGATCGAGGAGACGAAGACGTCGAGCCAGCAGAGCTGAAGACCAAGCTCGAAGGTCGAGAGCTCGACGGAGGCGTGTTGAAGTTGAAGTCGCTTTCAGGGGTTGCGCAGCGGTCAAACTCGTCCATAACCCGCCTAGCGCCCAAGACCTTGTAGTCGAGCGACCCAAGACCCTCGAGCTCCTCGTACATGCGCATGCACACGTCAAGGTTTATGGCGTCCAACACGTCAGATCTCAGCTTCATGATGCGCTCTTCGTCGAACAGGAAGGTGCTCGGCACGCGCTTTTCTGTTGTAGAGGGAAGCAGCAGCCGGGTGAGCCCGTCAAAGAAAACCCCCATGTCGCCGAAGGTTTGGGAAGTGCCCGGCAGGCGATCGCATATCCGCTCGGCGTCCGCGTACCAGAGCCTTGCGCCGGTGACGTCCACCTTGCGCGATTGAATCTTTCGCAAAAAGAACTTTTGTTCAAAGTGAGTCGTATCTTCGATGAGCACTGGTCGCAGGCATCGAATCTGGTGGTTCGCGACGTCCAACTTCATGGCCTCGAGAACGCTCAGGAGGCTGCGCATGCCCGTTACCAGTTCGTCGAGGTCGCCATTGCGGTTTCCGTTGCTCAGTTGCGTATACATGGTGTCGACCCAGTCATCGCGCATGGGAGCGCAGTGTGACTTGAGGACACGAGACAGCCACGATGCCAGTTTCTCCAGGTCGGCAATGCCCTTGTTAAATTGTTGCATCAGCAGCTCCACGTTCAGGCCCTCGTCGAGAAACTGCCGATCGCGCTGAGGTACCAGGGTCTGAATGATTTCCTTGACAGCTTTCAGCAAGGCGGGTAGAGTCCAGTCATTTCGTTCGCCGTGCTTCCGGTCAAAGCTTGGCCGATCCATGATGAATTCGATGAGTTCTTCCTTGAGTGTTTTCCAGAATTGGTTCGCCCTTTCCTGCTTTTTGCGGCCCTTCTCGCCATCCAAGTTCGGTCGGAAATGCAGTTCGGGGTCGAAGTTGATATCATGACGCAGTTTTGGGTTGTGAATGATCTTAGACACGTCAAGCTCACTTAATGTAGAGCGAGTTACAGGCGGTTCCAGGGGAGACGGCTGTGGGGCCGAATGGCGGCGGGACTTCCGGTTTGTGAGGGCCGACGTAGTCTCTCCCCTTGCATGTTCCGACTCGGAGGCGCTAGTCGAGCCAGACTCTGATGTGCCGGCCGACGCGGGCGACGACGTCCGTACAGGGCCTTCACACCGCCGAGGTGATTCTTGTGATGGTTGCGCGGCTTTGCTGTTTTCCGTCTCGTTCTGAGGTGCGGGTTGCATTTGAACGTCGGTGTCCTTCATGGCCTCACCGTCCCCGTTGGGCACGGGACCAGACGTCGAAAGCGTCCGCGACCTCTCCACCGGCCCTCCATAGCCTTGATCCATGTTTCCGTTCGAATGGGTTCGTCGGGTGGTGCAAAGACCGTCGCCTGTTCAGGCGACGACGCCAATGGTCTCCCAGCAGGTCGACTTCGCGGTGGGGGAAGACGCCAGGCGGCGTCTATGTGAGGCAAAGATCTGGAGATGGTGTTAGTGAGGTCACCAACATTATCCGAGTCCACTGCGAAATTTGTCCACGACGGCCGTGTCAAAAGCCAGCACACAGAGTGATGCGCCGGCAGTCGCTCATTAGAGCAATGCCTGGACCTCCGCGTGGCTGCCCGAGTACGGATCCTCGACACAATTGGCCAAGCGAGTACAAAGCGGCTTGCAATTGGGCATCGACGCAACAAGGGGAGCGGGAATGTGGTTTGCCGTTCTTACATACAATTCCGGTGTGTGAGTGCTGCACCAAACGGCCAAGTATGAGACTTGGGGGGGCGGCGTTTGCTGTAAGTGGCCCCCTTGCACGTCCTCGCTTTGTTGGTGAAGAGATTCGCTGCAAACGGGGGAAACGTCGACCAGCAGGATGATGTGTGGTGTGATCGGCTGCTTGTATGGCCCGACGAGAGTCGAAAACGCTTGCTGAGTGAATCTATCCGGTGCCAATGGCGTGAAGTGACGTGGTCGTGAGGGCGAATGCAAAGGAGCGTGGGTTGCAGCGTCGAGCCGGACTGGGCGTGTATTCGTTCAGCCGAGGTTGCATGCAATGGGTGCAGTGACGAAGGGGGCAAGACGCAATGCAATGAACAATGACAGACGGCAAGAGAAGAGAGAGTAAGAGAGAGAGGCAGTTTAGGAGTCGGTCCGGAAAGAGGGAAAAGAGGCAAGATCTCGAAACGGAAGGGGGAGGGAAGGAATAAAAGAAGGCAGGAGATGCCGGGAGGGCATGGCATGGCTTAATAAAACTGCCCACGGAGGGAGGCGAGAAAAAGGGGACCCAAAGACAAGTCTTTGACCACCACCACCACGACCATCCACCGGGGAAGGAAGGAAGGGGGGGCGCCTGGGACTGGGACTTGCCGCCAGGGACGATGTGCATGACTTGCGAGACCTCCGAGTACTTGGGTAGAGTGACATGGGGCGTTCCATCGGCACGGGGGCGGATGGCATGGGCAGTGGGCAGTGGGCGGCGGGCTAGCGTGGTGGCAGCCGCCACCGTGCCGGCGGCGGATGGAGCAGTTGGGACAGAGGGTGGCATGGTGGGTGTGGCTCGTCCGCACAGAGTCAAGTCCGCTGAAGCCAAAGCGCTGTGTCCGCGGTAGGGGGTCAAGGGCGCGCCAGACGCCTCAGATTGGGTCGGGTACTATTGGGATTGGTACCTCCAGGGGGGTGCGCTCCCCAAGGTGGTGGTGGTGGCGGCCGTGGTGGGAGGCGCTTGCTGGACCCGGGCAAGCCAAGGCAAGGTACCATTCCCAGCGTGCAGCGACGGGCGCGACAGTGAGGGAGCGCCTGGTGGGTGGTGGATCGCAGTGGGGGGAGGGGGGCCCCAGCGACCCAGCAGGCGGGTAACCAAACAATTGAGGTGAGATTCATGGCGGGGGCCACCAGTGGACGCGAGGTCTGGTCCCAGCCCGGAGACCCCAAGTACCTCCGACGGCCAACTCCGGCGGGCCGGTACTTCCGTCTCGAGGGACACGGACTGCTGAACTGAGGTGCAGCCATCCATTGACCCATCCAGGCGGTGCACGCCCACTGAGGTGCCTGCCCCTGGGCTACGGGGCATCTCACACCGCGCAGCATGCTGGCCCCCTACCGCCGCCCTCGCGGCCAGAACAGACCACCATCGCCAGTCAGTCAGGCAAGTCACGTCCAGTTCAACCTTTGCGCCGCACCGGAAGTCATGGAGGTCAGCAGGCCGTGAGGCGCAGAAGATGCATGCCCAGTCATGCGTGGCCGCCATCGACCGGGCTTAGCCTTTGGGATGTACCTTGTTATATTGGGGCGCTGTCGCCCAGTCCGATTCAGCACAGTCACTTTCCGCGGTCGAGCGTGCGTCATGGCGGTTAGGTCCAGCAACAACTTCAAGGTTCTTTATTGCCTTCCGCCACCTGCTCATATCCAAAACCCGCCCTTTTTCTCTCTTTCCGGCGGCGATCAGAGGCTCTGTGCCGTCAGTGGACGGCCCAAGGCCGGCAGCACGGTCGGCAGCAGCTGAACATGCAAGCGGGACGTCGTGCTTCGCCGGTGCTACTGGACGGCAGCCATCGCTAACCTTGCCTTAGTGAGGATGCGGCTCCAGCAGCACATGGGCCGGATCGCCGGGGCGCGGGCGCTCACTCGTAAGTACGAGGACGACTTGCCTCAGGCGCGCCCGCCCTGGCAATGGGCATGGAAGTTACCTAACGCACGGGGAGCCCTAAGACATGACGAGCGACTGTTGTGGAGGCAGGAGCCAGGCACAGAGAGGGCGCGCATGTGCCGCGGCTGGGCTGGGCTGGGCTGGGCTGGGCCGGACGGCACGAACCAGCCCAGACCACGCCAGGCCAGACCAGAGCAGCTGGAGGGCCTGATGAGGTGTGACTCCCAACCACACGTCTGCCGCCTGGCAAGGTCGGGTGCGACGCGATGCGATGCGATGCGATGCGATGTGCCCGGACAGCCTCTGGCATTGGCTGATGATGTTCGTATGTGCGCGAGTGCGTGTCTGTCCTCTGTCGCGGAGACAGAGAGCAGATTGCAGACTGCATTGCATGTCAGAGACGCAGGCGCATTGTTACAACCCAACACATTCACGCAGAGGCGGCCGGAGCCCAGGACGCCAGCAGGCACGGCGCGTGTGTGAGAGCTGGCCGCCGTGCTGATGCGACTTGCGAGTGCCAGCGCCTTGTGTCTCTGCGCTCTGCCTGCAGCACAGCACACGCATCATACCGGCAATGGCACCACCCCATGCTGGCTCAAATTGCGGCGCGGGCCAGCCAGGCCCGGGGAGGAAAAGGGAGGCCACCACAGAGGGCACCAAGGACACCAAGGGCACCGAGGGCACCACCCGCGATGCGCGGGATGTGGTGGGAACCACACGGAACACACCCCTTCGCCCAGTATCCACCAACCAAGGGCCAGGCCAGGGGTGGGCGGTTTTCAGGGACCTGCGGGACGGACGGGGCCACGGCATGGCATGGATCCTACGATGGGCGCCCATTAAAATCCCCTTGCGGGCAGGCCGGTACGCCTATCCGGCTCGATTGATGGGGGACGGGCTCCATCGCGAGCCCCAGCCTCATCCGCGACCGTCGCGACGGGAGCAGTGGCGGGATGGCATGGCATGGCATGGCCGGGGGCATGGCACGACATGGCATGGAGGCGTGCTGCGCGCCTGGCTGGCATGGTGGTGGATGGACATGGTGGACAAGGCTGTTTGAGTGCCTGGCCGACCGACCCTTGCATGTCTCGTCTGCACGACAGGGGCAGCAATGGATGGATGGTCCAGGTGAGTGACTTTGACCGTGTTCAGGTCAACAACTAACGGTGCGGTGCAGCAGCTCGCTCCTGCCTGTCCCCCAGCCGAGCGGCTGCCCGAGGTACCTTACCTACCTAACGTACCTTAGTACTCTACTGCGGTCCGTAGCTCTGGCAAGGTACAGTAAAGGCGTGGTCGATCACAGGGACGACAAGAGACACGGGCCAACGCAATGGCATGACTGAGAGTTCCTAATGTCGGTCATTAATAAGACCGACCCTGCACGACTCGGAGTAGCAGCACACTGTACGGAGTCACTAACATGGCACAGAGACTCGGCGGGTGACGTGCATACGAGCACTGCTACAGCGCGCGTGCGTGCCCTCGCGGTGCTAATCATCAAGTGTTTATTTGCTGTCATGCCACAGACACTAAGCAAAAGCAAAAAAGAAAATTTAGAAGCCCAGACGCGAGCGAGCGCTCGCCCATTGTCCCATAGTCCCGCCATGAGGGCACCAGGTGACCTCTTCCTTTTTTTTCCCGCATACGTCCGTGCAGCGCTACCAAGTTCCTGTCCCTGCAGTGACAATCCAGCGGCACCAACGATGTTCTGCCATTGATTGCGCAGCTGTCCTGGCGGAGGTGGAAGTTGAGGGCCCGCTGTGATGGCGCCGCCGGCCTCGCCAACTAACGGTACCAAGGACAACTGGCATCACACGGTCTGGTTGTTGGGTGTGCCCAGCCTCGCACCAGCCGACAGCATTCATTCGGGCATGCTTATCGCGCCCGGTTGCCTGATGACGCCCGCCAGCGGTCGTCTCGGTGATTGCCCCCCTCGGAGCCGGTCCTGCGACGGGCGGTGCAACCGTGCTGTGCGCAAGGTAGCACCTTCACCACCTCGTGGTTCTGTCACAGCCTGACTCGCACGTCCGAACGCCGCGCCTCAGGTGGGCACGGTTTCGTTCGAGCTTCGGGTGTCAGCGTACTTTTGACACAGGTCTGGTGCGTGTCATGTTGTGCTGTACCCTCCCGCGAGCCCTACGAGGTGGGTTCGTGAGTTTGCTGGCAGCCTCCTAGGTTCGTCCTGTCTGGCCGCATGCAGGGAGGCGAGCCGGAGGCTGGCGGGCTGTATCAAAATCATACCTGCCCCGTGTATTATGTACTTGGTGAGCGTCTCGAGAGCGACGTCAGGGCTGTCATGGTCACGAGGGATCGGACGTGCCAGATGACGGTGGATCACAGGGCTGTCCAGGGCTGCCCTCTGTCACAGAGGATACGGACGAGAGCGCAATCTGGGTACTTCGTACATGCATCGCCACCAACTGGTGCTCACGCACTTGGCTGCTGCCCGCAGCTGCCGTGGCATCCACCCGACTACTACGTAGACGTAGTGTCGTGTGTCGGCCGGGCCCAGCTGCTGCGTGCGTCGCTGAGCATGCATCCTGACTTCGCGCAGCTGGCCATCTGGAGACGTGGCTGAGGCTTCGCCACCACACACACACAAACCCGCCGGTGCCGGGTACTTCGTACTTTGCGGACTGCCACGCCGATTGGAAACAGCCTTTCAAGCGCTGCCCATTGGGTCGTGCCCACCGCCGGTGAGCCAAAATAACGGAAGCTCCGTGGGCCCCTCCTGCCGTCCTGGGTGATCCGACTCGCTGGGACTGGCTGCTTGGCTGAGTGGCCCCCGTGCCTTTACCGAGACCTGTACGAGTACGTACCCCGGTACGTAATCCGGTACGCGTTCCAGCACGTACTCGCAAGTACTCTGCGACGCCTGCTTCGTACCTGCCGACCGCTGATGAGCAGATATACCAGGTTGGCAGGTGCGTTGGAGTGCTTGATGAATGAGGCGAGGCATTGATCCCGCAAGGCCCCAAGCGATGATGACTGAGCCCGCCGGGGCAATTCACGGCTTCACATCCTTTCAGCTCTCCGTTCAGTCGCTTGCACATTGATGCAACCTCGCCAAGTTTGAACCAGCTTTGGGGGCGCTTCACCTCATGCTGGTCATACGACCTCGCTCACAGGCTACGCAACAAGTCCTCGGCTGTGAGTCGCGGAGACTCGCCGAACGAACCTTGGCGGTCGAATGGTCCAGCGGCTCGACGTCTAACTTACATGTCGTTTGCTCCAGTAACACGGTGAGGCTGCCTCCCGACGTCTCCAGTGACGGAATAGGTCGTAAACGCGACACAACACCAGGGCAAAACCACCCAACCGCATTGTCAACTTCGGATAGAGTGCGAAAGGCGGTCCGGGCTCGGCAGCCGACTCTTCATGTGCAAGCATCCCTGCGGGGTACGATTTTCTTCTTTCTTTACGCTCGACCTTGCCGAGACCTAGTCAGGGCGGTGCCGACTTTGGTGGAGTTGTCACGAGTAATGGGACGGGGGAAGAAGGCGGCAGCCGTCAACCACCAGGAGCCTGGCGCCATGACGGGTGTCAGGTATATCCGTAACAAACGGTCCCAGCAGGAGCTTTGGCTTTCCAGTC